CATCAGATCGTAATCCAGACGCGAGCCGAGAGCCTTCTCGGCATCCGATTCCGTAGCCGCCGACATGTCTTAGCTATTTGTTCTTTACTTTATGCGAACAATTGGATTCTTCACATCTCACAACACTCTGGGGGGATTGAGTCCCTGCACCGCGAGAGTCCTTGCCGTAATCCTTTCGCGCACTGTATCCTTTAGTGTTCCGCCATCGCGCGATGCTTAGTCTCCGATTTCCCGCACTGGACTGGCCAGAAGGCGGCAGCCGCCAGACGGTATATTCCACTAATTACATTAGCGCCGGACACTCTGGTACTTGGAAACTCGGTCAATGTGTAGGCAAATCGCAAGTCAATGGGCCCATTTGTGGTCAAGCGGTAGGTAGTTGTGGGGCTGCCCGCCCGGGAGGCAGACACCGATTTTAGCATAGGTATTTGGCCATTATTACCCATGTTACCTGGCGGCTGCACGTGATTAGCCAGCAGCGTATTTGCTTTCTTCGATTTTCGAAGCCCTAGCACCGAGATCGGTCGGCTTTGATGCATAAAAATCCATACTATGCAAGCGGCTGTGTGGGGGAATGTGTTTTAAAAGGTAATTACTTAATATTATTCCAATTTTAATAAATCAAGGCTTTAGGGCTGTTAAGGGGAAAAGAGAGCCTGGAAGGGGAACTTTATTTGACTTATTAAGTATAGGATAGCTCTATAAAATAGTACCTAATTTTGTATATATTTCTTTTATTTTTATAACGAAAATACATCTACATTATACGGGTTCATGAGGCCTTATTATATCCTTGCAAAGCATTATATTTTCAGTCAGAAGCTTGCAATGCAGTCAAGGAGTCATTTCCGACCCTATAAATCATATATATTCTTGATCAGCATCAACAGGCGAATCTATTTAACATGGCAGCTAAAAAAAAAAAATTTTCAAAAAATTGAAAATTTTATAAATTTTATACATCATTAAAATTCTGAAAAATCGAAAAAATTTTGATTTCTTAAAATTTTAAATTTAGTATGCCAACGTGTTAAGCTTCTGAAAACTAACTCAGAAAAGCTATCCGAATCGAAATTAATGAATTTTTGGCTTAGTTATGATCGATTTTCCAATTAGTACCCTGTTATTCTTTGGACTTTCCCTTCTGTTTCTCTGCTGCTTAAGTATTTAAAACAAACAAATCGAAATGTTATTTTATATAAAAATAAATAAATAAATATTCACTTATTTAAGCATCTTAATGAATACAAAATATTGTGTAACCTTCATCAAATAAATTAGTTTGACCAAAGTCTTCTAGTATTTGATTAATAATATCCTTAAATATCTTCTTTTGTTTTTAGATTTGCTTATCTTCTTATTATCCTTGTAATTAATACATCAAATTATTTAGGAAATATAGTAAGCTATTTAAATGTTTAGTGGTTTACGACCATTTACTAGAAAGCTATTCAAATCTAGGCGGCATCGTAGTAAATAGACAAGCTTTTAAGCTTCTCAGCTAAACTCACCACACCTGTTCCCAACAGTCAGATTTTGGAAGAAAAAAATAACCCTATTATTATTTAGCACCTTTTCCCACTGGGTCACTGATTAAGAGATGATGATTGATTAATATTGATTAATCCCACACCTGAAAACGACCCGAAACCTTACTGAGATACCCAGCTTGAGACCTTGAAACCTTGAATGTTGAATGCTGCCTGCCTACTTGAGGGCGCTTGCAGGGCTTTTTGTATGTCAATGCACTTGGAAATAAATAACAGCTCCTGCTCCTGGGGGCAGGCAAAAAGGAGCAAAGGAACAAACACTCCTCCAAGGAGCGCCCTTTGAAATGTACGTTTGAAGGTGGAGGAGGGTTCGGGAGAGAAATGGAATGGCACGCCATGGCCTGGCATCGTACGTGTTCAAGTTGTTCAGCGTTTTTCAGCGGGGTTAATGCACCTTTCGCTCCATAAGGAATTTCAAAATTAAAGCCAACGCTGCAGCTGGGCTCTCATTAAGTGCAGATTAATTAGTGTGGGATAATGGAAAAATACCTGGCATGCCGCAGTGGTAACGTGATGATAAATAGCAGTATTTAATTGATAAAATATTGTTTATTTGCAGAGCGCCAATGTATTGAGACACTTGGAGCAAATATACTCTAATAAATATGCCTGGCTACCTCAGAAACCCATTTTAAATGTCAGCATTTATAGTTTCCTATTTATTTTCTAAATTAACTTCAAGTAACTACATTTTTGCAGTGCACAATATGGCCGCACTCAATGATACATTGGCCCCCAACAGAACTCCTGCCTTATTTAGCTTGACAAGAGCCCTCGTGAGTTATGTGCACAATTTTCAACGAAACAAGAAAAAAGGGAAAGAGCACATTTCCCTCGCTTTCCGTAGCAGGTTGCACTTTCACTGTTTCCACAATGGAGCCTGCAACATTTCGCAATCTAAAATAATCTTGCCTTCTCCTATGAATACATAAATTTTAGGCTAATAAAAATCAAGCTCTTGAGGACTGATTTCCTTTATGGCAACCGAGTAGATAAGGGCCTTGGGTAAATCAAATAGATAATGGTTTTATGAATCGGGTTCGGTCAATAGTATTTTTTAAATTTATTTGACTGTCAATTGATTATGCGAATCATTGAGAACGCTGATTATTTTAAATATTTCCTTGTCTTAAATGACTAAGATCAAGACACTTTGAATCGAAGTTAATCTCTAACAAATAAAATGTAATTTATTGAGAAGCTGTCATATGATTAGGTAAATCATTGAGGAAGTTGATAATTAAAACTGCGTTGTTATGTGTTATTCTATTTTTGTTGTTTAAGTACATTGGTCGTAAAAATTAGTTTATGTATAGGAAAAATATAAATACAGTTGAGATAAGGTGGGTCTAAAATATTTTGTGGATTTTTTTAATCTTCAACATAAATTGAATAAAGTTTGTAGTTGTAAATTATTTGACATAGAAACCTAGCAACATATCCGGTGGATACATTTTCAGGGATGTTTGTTTTCTTTTTTTTTAATAATAAATACTATTTTAAATTAAGGGGGTCTTCTCATTGGGCAACTTTTTTTTTTCGATTTTTTTTTTTTTGCATTTGTTTATAGCTTGTTTACCACTTTCCTACTTCCTCATGGAAAGTGGTGGAATCCTTATGAATACAATTTAAATGCTAAAAGTCTACTGCTTTAATATGAATCAGAGCAGTAGGAGGTTTTCATTTTCAATCAAGGATAATTTTATATTCCTTCGATTTCTTAATAAACCCAAAAATGTCCTTCAAAAACCCCAAATAGATATACCAAAGTTTTTATGCATTCATTGTTTTCTTCAAATATTTAGTAGCTGATGCCAGTGTTGTCGCGGATCCAGTCCAGGTATCCAGTAACGCGGGTGAACACGGCAGGGTGTCCGGCCTGGCAGCCGGCTCCCGAGCCGAAGGAGGTAACTCCAACCAGGCGGTTGCCGTCGTGTGTAACCAGGGGGCCACCGGAGTCACCGCCGCAGGTGGACTTGCCGCCTTCGGTGTTGATGCAGATCATGTAGTCGTGGAGAGACCAGAAGCGGCTGCAGTCGCCCTGGGACATGATCTGGACATCCACAGCCTGGAGCCAGTCGGGCAGCGGGCTGCCGTCGTAGGTGCCGCCCCATCCGGAGGCAACAGCCCACCAGCCAGCATAGCTTTGGTAGCGGTCGTTGCCACCGGGCAGCTCCACCTTGTTGACCAGGTGCCAGAAGTCCACGTGCGGGGTGCGGATCAGCGAGATGTCGTTGTGCAGGTTGCCGCTGTTGTAGTGGTGGTGCTGAATGATGTCGCCGCTTCCAACCCAGTGGGTGTACTGGGGCTGGGTGCGGATGCTGGCGCCGTAGTTGATGGTCACGCCGCTGGCTCCGTTGGTGCAGTGAGCAGCCGTCAGGACCCAGGTGTTGCCGATGATCGAGCCACCACACCACCAGTTGCCATTACCGCTGAACAACAAGCCAACAATGTAGGGCACCTTGCCCTCGTAGGCCGGGTAGCCGTTGGTGATGCGTCCCTGGATGTCCTTGATGGGCACAGGGTTCAGCTTCTGCTGGGGAGCAGGGATGGCGGTGGCCGCAGCCACGGCCAAGGCCAGGAATACGAACAGTTTCATCTCGATCAAGACTCACAACTCATGGTTTTCCCCACCCGAGAGCGGCCTTTTATACCAAAAGAAGTGGCCTTATCTCCCCGCCTTGCACACATCCCCAAGAGCTCGCTTCTGGTCTACTTGTATGTAAAACTGGGGGGCAGTAAATCTCATCGAGTTCCCTTTGTGACAAACTGATAAGTTCGGCGGCACAAGTGGCTTCTTTTTGCTGAAATTATGACCGGCACTTGGCGCTGGCTGACGTGAGGCCCATTTGTAACACAAGTTCTTAAGGGTGTCAATAATATTGGGAGATAGTGGATGAATGTAATTAGATTTGCAAAGGATCGTAGGGGCAATCCCTACAAGGATTTGGTTAATATATTACCATACATATTTGTAGTTTAATGGGAATCATAATTAAATAAAAATCTCTTGAGATTTTCTATGGAGCTTCCAGAGATTAAAATAAATACCATATTTATTATCATTTCAACAAATTTATTAATCGGAGAAGACTATATTTCTAATATATACCTTGAGGTAATATAAACTTAGAGCAAAGTCTTTTCTATTAATAACAATAATTTGACACTACAACTTACAAAAATAGATCAAACATCGGAAAACATCTAACAAATATTACTCATACGACTTGTTGGACAGACTTATTATATCCTAAGAAAAACATAAGCTTACTTAAAGTATTTCAAGCTTTACAGTTAAAATGCTGATATATTAAATATATTAAGCCGTTGGCCTTAACCCATAGATTTATTGATAATTGTAAGAAAAATAGTATTATATTTTATTATAAGAATAATATAAAAACTCATCCAATGAATTTAATGTTAAAACGAAAAAGACGTTTTCCCTTAATTCTTCACAAATATATATCTTTGTTTTATTTTAGTTCAGAAAAATATTGGATTATACATATTTTAATAATAAATGCCGGTCTCCTCCTTGATCCATTCCAAGTACTTGGTTACACGGGTAAATCCAGCAGGTGCTCCCACCTGGCAGCCATAACTGGAGACAAAAGAGGTAACTCCGATCAGCTTGTTGCCCTCCTGGGAGACAAGTGGCCCACCGGAATCTCCCTGGCAGGTGGCCTTGCCATTAGGAGTATCCACGCAAATGGTGTTCTCAGAAGCCGTCTCAGTTCCGTAGTAGGCCTGGCACTCTGCCACGGAGATCACGCGGACATCCACCACTCGCAGATCCTCAACCACATTGCTTCCATCGTAGATGGCACCCCAGCCAGAGGCGATGGCCCAATTGTTATCATAGGAGTTGTAGCGATCCTCCAAACTGGGTAGCTCAATCTTGTCAACCAGGCTGTAGAAATCCACATGGGGAGTCTTGATCAAAGCCAAATCAGCGTCCAGACCATGGTATTCGGGATACATAATCAAGTTCTCCTTGCCCACAGTGTGACGGAAGGCGGGCTCGTTGTAGTTGATGGCACCATAGTACAGGGAAGCCTCATCGGCACTGAGGGTATAGAAATTGCGTTAATTTTATTTAATTAATTGCTTTAAAACCTACCCATCAATGCAGTGTCCGGCAGTGAGCACCCAAGTGTGTCCGATAATTGAGCCACCGCACCACCACCAGCGGCCGTTGCTGTTCAGGCTCACTCCCACGATGTAGGGAATCTGTCCTTCAGTCGCCAAAACTCCATTGGTAATGCGACCTTCAATGCTCCTGCTCTCCGCCTTCAAGTCCCGCGGATGCACCGCAGAGTGGGGAATAGTGGAAGCACTGCAAGCAGCCACAAGGACAAGCACCAAGAGTGTAAGACCTGCCATTTCTGGAGACTGAAACTGCTCGCAGGGTGGCCATAGTGTTATATAGACCCAATGATTTTATTATCAATGCAAATACAATTGGCAAATCTTATCTCGCATATGCCACTTACTCGGCGATACTTATCAAAAAATAAGTTTAATTTATATTAGCTTATACTTTAACTGATTGCTAGAGAAAGTTGAGTTCATTTCCATAATTTTTAAAATTTTATTTAAAACAAATCAGGAAACAAATATAATTGTAAAAACAGAGTGACAACATTCTTTAAAGTTTAAAGTCCCTTTGAATAAATTGAAACACCAAAAGCAACAGGGAAACATCAACAAAGAAGAAAGGTACCAGGAAACCCACTTAAATTCTTCGACATAGAAATTGCAATCGAGGGTCATGCGATATCCTTGAAGTAGCCCGGGAAATAGTGCAACGGAAAACAAAATACGATTATGGCAATCAAAAGGGAAGTCCACATTCGGAACTACCTCACAATACAGCAGAGTCCAGTTGCTCTTAAAGCGAAACTCGATATGAGTTCTGAGAAAGCCCCAAGGCAAGTGGAATGGATGACAACAGCACCCACTCATTAGGAATCTATTGGGACTGGACTCCACTGGCCTGTGCTATGTTTGCTATTTCCGTGCTCCTTCTTGACCACTTCGACCGCATATTGCACTGTGGAAAATCTCATTGGCGGAAACTCACCACGGGCCGGAGAGCTATTAAAGCCGACCCCCGACGCGCCATGAGTCAGTTTACGACTCGGCGTCCAGGCAGTCAGATCCTTCGCGCGCGTCGCGTCTTCCGTGAAAACACGAATAATATAATTAAAAGTTTGCGCGCGTCTTCCCGCTGAACGAACATCCATCCCCATTCAAAACTGGGTTCCTACAGGCAGTGCAAATCACAAAGTGCAGGAGGCATTAATTAATTTAATGCACCTCCTGCTTATCCTGGGAGTACAAAGACAGAAACACAATACATTCTATGCGGCGGCGAGTGATTGAGAGTTCAAAGAACCGCTTTAAAAGGATACCTGTGCCCTGTCCTGTGTGTGTCCCCTCAGTGTTTGTTTTCCGTGCACGGCACCCATAACAACAGCAGGACTCTCGATTAGCGTTCAAGGCGGGGCGATTAAGTCATCCTCCCACAACCTCATCGGGCGAATTAGTTTTTACTGGTTTTCAGGGAAATAAAAACTGTAAGTTCCGGAAGTCAAGTTAACACTTAAAAACAAAACTTTAAAACTAAAAAATATAGAAAAATACAAGGATCATAAATTACAGACATTTTTAACTAAACTAAAAAAGTAAGGAACATAGTCGTATCAACTAGTAATAATTTATCCCAGAAATTTAAGTATCATTTTCATTTCTTCAAACAAAATCTAGTGAAACTATAACTTTTAAATTTTCAGCTTTCCACAAACGAACCAAAGTACAATTAGCACAAAATGTTCCATCTCAACCCTCGAACAGAATTTCGGTTGTCTATAAGTGACTAGACTAACCAACCAGCCAATCAGAACCCTATACAAGCCCCGAATCCCCAAAAAAGAAACCAAATCAAGAGCAGGATGCACCAGGTACTCAGCTACGAGACGGCAGTGCGGGCCAACAGCTCCCGCGAGTTCCGTGAATACGTCTCCAAGCGCACTTGTGCCTCCCTGGTGCTAACGATTGCCTTCTTCATGCTGATAACAGGTGAGTTCTGGGTGAAAGGCCGACATCAAACCGGATCTTAGCCGCTAACGAGTCCCACTTGTGTGTGTACCCCGATTCCGCAGGATACTTGCTGGGCAATTTCGTGGCCGAGCGCAAGTATCACATTCGCCAGATGACAAAGAGCGTGATTAAGGACGTGGACGGCGAGAGGTCCGTGAAGCTGAACAGCGAGGAATATGTCAGCCTGCAGGAGCTGCAAACGTATCAGAAGACCAAGGGTCAGTTGCTGGTGTCTGCCCAGGTTCTGGACAAGCTACAGCAGCAAGACGAGAGCGAACGGTATCTGGCCACCTCGCTGAACACGGAGATCTTCAACAAGTACATATCCTGCACCCAGGACATACCGCCCAACACGAACATTGCGGCCAGCCAGTTCATCGAGCAGCTAGTGGACAACACGGTGGCCAGGCAGCGTCACTGCATGCGGATTATCCAGGTGGTCATCGACAACCACCTGGCCAACAGCCAGCTGTAGGAGATTTGGGATGTTAGAATCGTTTACCGGGCCCAAGTGCAAAATGTGCCATTAATGCGAAATTATTTATATAAATGTATGTGCTTCTAGGTGTGCTCAATGTGTGTGTTTCCAGCTAATTAGAATGTAATTTTGTATGTCGTTGGTATAGTATTTACTTGCCCTAGTTTTTTTATACATGTCTGCATTTAAAGCAATCTAAAACAAAATTAAATATAGATGTTAAAAAGGAAAAGAGCGTAAAATTAAATGGGTTAATAGGACAAATGGGCGATACTACTTTATTTTGCTATATTAACCCATCAATGAACACTTTTATTTTAATATTTTATTACACAATATGAAACATTTAAATTTGAAAACTTCATTTTACTCTTCCGTTGAAATATATAAACGATACTTAGGGTTTACTCCTTTAATAGGCAAGAAGTGACCCGCGCTATTGAAGACCCACTCTTGTAGCGGAATTACCTCATCCTCCGAAAACAGCAGATACAAGTACTTGAGAGTCGCCCCCAAGAAGTAACCCCTTTGCACATCATCCGATCCCGAGGATTCTTTGTAGACATCTAGGATACCAGCATATCCATGAGGAGTTCGGCAGTACTTCTCCAAAGCCAAGACCAGAGCACGTCCCCATTCCCTGTACTTCTTGTCGCGACTCAAACGCCATAGTTTCAAATAGCTCTCGACGATTTCCGGGCGTAGTACATAGAAGGTTCTCTGGAGGGATTTTATTTCCTTTCTAGCTTCCTCCGAGAAACCCATCTCCTCCGGACCCAGGCCAGTAGGTGACTGCCTATAGAGGTCATGACAGGTGTCGCCAATGCCAATGCCAATCTGGGCATACTTCGCCCAGTGTTTCATCAGCGTTTGCTCTGCTCCCAGGGCAAAGAGGCCAGCGGCAAAGCAATTCGACTGCTTCATCCGATCGGTTCGTGTACCGTCTACCACCTCCGGTATGTAGATCACATCCTCCGTGGTTATTTCCACCATATTCTGCACCACCGCCAACATGGCATCTTTGAAAATCTGCAAAGTTTCAGAATCACTTCTTCCGGACTGGATCCAGGACTTCAAGAGGTAATCATGGAATCGGTTTATCGAGCATCTGGAGTTTTCCCATCTGCCATATTTCGTGCAAAACGAGTTCGGGTACAGGCCATTCGGTTTGTTCATATCGGCCAGCAACCGCCGGATGCCGTCAACGGAGTCTTTGTAGACTGGATTCCCGGTTATTTCGCTGAGATAGAAGAACTCCAAGTGCAGGGCCCCAAACTCCGAGATACGTGCTATATCGGTGAGGGATCTTTTACGGAATTGGTCATCGTTTGGTACCACAAACCGCCTGGGTATTCCCGTGGCTGTCTGGAAGGCTGGCAGTATCTTATCCGCTATGTGGATAGCCTTATCTCTGTATAACTGATCTCCAGTTAGGGCATACATAGTCAACATGGGTCCCAGCATCCTAGAAGTTAGTTCAAAAATGGATAAGGTTTCATCCACGCGATCCAAGGTGAATGATTTCCGGATCCATTCCCGTGACCGGTTCAACTCCTTGTACAGACCCATCACATACAGAGTGTCCATGCTTTCTATGATTGTTGAGCCCAGTTTGTGGTGCCCGAATTCGCTGCCGAAGTTAACGCGTCGAGTAATCGGACGGAATTCATTGGTGCCCCAAGTGAATCTGGCATAATTTCTCCAGGCATGCAGCATCATCTCCTTGATCTTTCTCCGCATTGCTTCCGGGGTTTCCTCAAGGGGATCCTTATGTTTTACTTTATCTTCTTCCTCCTGAGTTAAAGCAAGAGACATCAAGGCGATTGTTAAGATTCCCATGGCTATGTACAGGATTTTGGCAGACTTTTTTGTAGAATGCCATTTGTTATGCGCCCGACGGATGGTAAAAAAGAAGAAATACATTCCGATTCCGAGTTAAAATGCGCTTTGAATAAAGTGGAGACGGTAAGTGGGTGTAACACTGAACTTGACCAGAGCCACTAGGTTCCGGACACTTGTTTAAACATTTGATATGCCTTTGTATAGAGACAGCACTTGGAGTTGGAGCGTAAGGTGGGCCTTATCATACCTATTAGTTTCAGTAAATATATTATTCATAGCTTGAATATTTACAATTATATTTTAATAAATTTTAATAATAAATATAAAACACCTACTGTGTAGATATAATATTGCGCATTTGCCGAATGGCCGTGACCAGACGCGGCTCACAGCCACTGCTCAGAGTCAGATACTGATCCGGAGCGGCCTTAAGCAGCGTTAGAATCTGGGACAGCTGCAAGTTGATGGACAAGCCCAGCTCCTCGAGCACGTTGGACAGGTACTCGATGTCCACACTAAGCTGTGTGGCAGCCGAAGGAGGCAGCGACTTGATTTGCAGGATCTGTGTCTGGTACAACACGCAGCACTGCTCCACGACGAGGGACAGCAGGACATCGGCACAGGGAATGGCTTGGGTATACTTAATGTTGCACACCTCCAGAGCCTGCTTTAGCAAGGAGGATGGCGACAGCAGCAGTGGCTCCAGGTGCTGCGGCAAGGTGAGCAGGTACTGGCCAATCTGGGTGATGCTCTCTTGCGGAGCAAAGCTAAACGATGGCATCTCAATGCCCGACGCCGCGTGCTCCTCCACCGGTGGACGAATATGCGCCAGATGTGTCTCGATTGGCTGCAGCAATATATTCAGCGTAATGTCGTGGGTTTCGGTAAAATGACTCTTGAGAGTCGTGTAGATCTGCGGAAAGATTCCAAGGCTGTCGGTGGCCTCCGACTTCTTTTGCTGATAGTCAGCTATGCTGTTCAGCAGCTGAGTGCGAGCCGCATGATCGCAGGTCTGGAAAATGGTGATGGGTCCTCGGCTGGATGGCTTGGCCAGTCGATTGGCTAGATTAGCCATGCGTGTGTGCAAATCCTGCTCGAATTGATGGAGCTGCTGTTGAAAATCGGCCAGGCACTGCAGCTGCGACATGGTGTATTGCAGCAGCGACCAGTTCTCGCTCTGCGCCGCATAACTGCTTGATCCCAAGCTCAGTCCAATCTGCCGCTGAATGCGACCGAAGCTCTCCAATTGCCGCTTGAAGATACCATTCAACAGGGTTATGAGCTTGCACAGGGCCAGGTCACTGGTTATGGAAGCACATCGCTCGCAGGCCTCCTTCAGCCACTCGTAGAGCTTCCTGGTGCTCTCCTCCAGGTGACGGACGCCATCACTGGGAGTAGCCTGGTTGGAGGACAGCCGATCCACCTGGGTCGACAACTGGGTCTCCTCCAGTCGCGGATATTGCTGAATGAACTTGTGGAAATACTCGAACACCGCCTCGCCCAGCAGACGATGCAGCTCCTCGGGCAAGGTAATGTGCGATTGCTCAAGCAAGGAGTTCAGATGCAGCACAAAGCTATGATTTACTTGGGCGAACAGGGCCAGCATCTCCAACCTCTCATTGGAGGTCTTCAAAAGCTGCAGTATATGCGCATCCCGAGTGGGTTGCAGTGCCGGCAGCAGCTCTGCAATCACCAGAAAGGGCTGCATGCATTCCTCACCAAAGAGGTTTGTGCACCACTTGACCTGGCGCTGACAGTGTTCCAGCAGCTGATCGTAGTACAAGGTGAGGAACTGCTGATGCTGTGGCTGCGTCTCCGTTCCCTGCAGTTCCAGAGTTTGCTTCCACTGCTGCTGCCAGAAGTTCTTTTGGACAGCTCGATAGTACTGCTGGAGTTGCGGCAATCGCTGGATGCTTGTGAAGATCTGGACGTAGTGCTGGGCCTGCTCTAGGTTGCCCTCGGCGAAGCATTGCACCACGCTGGGCGATGCCAGTGCCTCCAAGCGATTCTTAAAGTCCTCCACTTGAGTGAGACGCTCGGCATGTCCAGGCAACTGTTCCTGCGCGACCAGTGACTTTTGCAGGGCCATCAGCTTGTCGCAAACCCCCTGGAAAGCAATGATTAATATAAGGATTCGCTTTTAGGGAAGCCACACCAAATACCTTTAGATCATTGCGCTCGAAGCCATCCTCCAGCTCGGCTAGAAGGTTCCCCCATCCATCCGACTCCTGTAGCGACTCCTTGGCCACCTGCAGGCGCTGACTCTTAGTGTTCAACCGTTCCAAGGTGGCCATGCACTCTCCCGTTTCGCTTTGCACTGCTGCCACCTCCAGTCGCATGGCACTCATCTTCTCCTGCAAACGGCGAACCTCTCCCTGGAGAGCGACGGACTCTTTGGCGATCCGGGGCATGCTGGCCACCACCTGCCGGCTGGACTCCTCTACGGCATTGTTAACCTGTCGTTTGAGGAAGTTTTTCTCATAAACGTCTTGGGTTGAAGGGTACTCGGAGAGCTTACGTTGAATATGTACAGCTGCAACTTGGGCACGTAGCTCCGGATGAAGGAGGAGGCGGCATCGCTGTCGTCGCGTCCATTTTCCTCCACGAACTTCTTGTAGTTGGCGTTTATCCACTCGGCAGGACTAAAATTTGGCCCAGAAAGAGCAGACACATCCATGGTGACGTTGATTTCGGGCGGTATGGTGTGACCGTGAACCGAAAATTAAATAAAGTCGCAGTTGAAGAAAAACGGTCTTATTACGAAGAGCTAGAGATGAGCTGTGCCATGGAACCTATTTATTTGTTTTATTATTATAATTAATGTTAAATATTAAAATAAAAAATCTTTATAAAGTTATTTCCAAATGTATTAATAAATAGTACATTAAATTTTAATTTAAACGAAACATTTATTCCCATACAACATCTGTCACGCTCATGCCTTGTCACGCGCTCATCTCTAAACCAGCTTCTCAATTCACAACACAATTTTTTCATCGCAGCAGGGATTATTTAGATTTTTAGATATATTCTTGTGATATTTAAAACATGTCACTTGGTAATGCCGATCCTTGGCACGTAAGAAATCCAGAAATTAAGGAAGGTAGCACGGAGCCCACTGATAAAACCGACAGTTTCGAGGACAACTTCACGCCCGGAAAAGACAGCCCAACGCCCGCGAAGGACGCTGAGAGTCCCACAGGACATGAACCGCTGCCTGACTCTAGCGACTACTTAAAGCTATTAGGTGGGATGAACCTGACGGTGGTATAAATACATCCATTAAGAATATCATTACTTTTCAGAACGGAAGCTGGCCCGGGTACAAAAGGGTAACAAACTACTGGACAACCTTCGGGACAAGCGGCAGGATTGTATGCGGGGATTACTGGAATCCGAAGGAGTGCCAATTTCCATATTCGAGCAGTTCCTTGAGCTTGACACACCCATTGAGAGCGGTCGTCTCCATCGCCACTTGCTGCCCGTCCAGGCTGTGAACGTTGGGGAAACCGTGTATATTGTGGACCACGACGCACTGCAGCGTTCAGAGGAGGAGGAGGAGGCCCAGTCGGCGGCTGAACACTAACTAAAATCACAATGAATTCCCTATTTGGCAACGTCTTCTTATTTCTCACTGAGCTGGCCTGGAAGAGTCGCCTAACCATACCCGTTCTGGTCACCACCGCCTTCCTCGTGATGGACATTCGCCTGCAGATCGAGATCAACATACAGACGGGCCAATTTGTAAGTTGAAAATATTGCTATTTCACTGCAGCCTCGAATCTGGAATCGCTTTTAAAGCAGAATCCCAGCGACATGGACGACGATGATGCCATGGCTGCCCACGATCATGGCACGGATGAGAGCGGCAGTGACAGCTACACGGATGATCTCGAGGAGTACAACAGCGAATACACCAACGACGATGGCAACAACAGCGAGACTTCTCACTACAGCATGGACATCTACGATCCCTGGGGCTCCGACTGGGAGGCCGAAGACGATGTCGAAGCTAACTACTCTCGGCAGGTGTCGTTTTAAGCTCCCAGCACAGTTTTAAATTAGGCGTAATTGGGCCAGATAAGCTAGCTTTATATTATGTACATGTATATACTCAACAATATCGAACCCCTAATATTAATATTTAACCATTTCAAGCAGTAAAAATAAAACAAAACGAGAGTTAAGGGCATCAGCGGTTATATTGTTCGTCTACATGTAGAGTTTGATCAGCTCGTCGCTCACAGCCGACGGCGTTAGAATTCCCAGATCGGTGAAGAGCAGCGTGATGTAGACGGGTGGCGTGTAGTCCACCAGGGGATGCACCTTGCTCACATCGTTGAGGTGTTTTCGGGAGTACTAAAAAGGAGAACTTTTAGTCGGGTTTACAATGAAGAAATTACACAAACTCACTTTATACTCATCTGGCAGATCCCGCTGGTTGAGTGGATAAAGACGAGAGAACTTGAAGCTCTCAGATAGAACGTAGAAGGGCTTCTTCATCTCGCGGGCACACAGGCCCATGGTGTAGGAGCCAATCCTGTTGATAATGCCGCCACTTTCCACCACTGCTTCAGCGCCCACCATGACAAAGTCCACTGATTCCATCACATAGCCGGTGGCCGAGTCCAGAATCAGAGTGCAATCAATGCCAGCTGCTTCCAGTTCCCGCACCATTTCTTCGCTGCAAAAGAAAAAATGTTCAAGCATGCATTTTAAAGGGAAACTTCATATACTCACCCAGGATTTCCAGTGCCACCTTGTGTCACGTAAACATGGAAGGACTTTTTGTTTTGCGAGGCGGTAATCAGGGCTTTGAGGACCACACGGGATCGGGAGTGTGTCAATATGCGGCAGCCATCACTGATGAACCGCTGAGCCTGGTGGGCAATCACCTAGGAAGGGGTTACAATAAGGATTTAGTAAATTTGAGACAGACTTTAGCTAGTTTCAGAATCCCACCTGCCGGGAGTTGAGCAGCTTGGTGAGAAAGATCTTGCCGCGATGCAACATGATCTGGCGGCACTCCTCCATGTGCTTGTCGTCCAAGCTGAGCGTAATAAACCGGCAGAAAAGCTCTCCAGCAGACACAATGGCGGCAATGGACAAGTCTGTGTTCCGCATGGCGGCCACCGCTTCCCGCATGGTTGTGTGCAGGATGTGAATGGTGCCAACTGGGAAATGTGACACAAAGGACACATGTAATTGGTAAATCTTGCACAAAATAAACACAAACATACACTGTTTCTTTTCCAGGATCATCAGCAAAGTCCTAATGGCCGCAATGCCAGAGGAAAGGTCCCTGTCCTCCTCCAGCAGCTGCAGGAAGTATTTGACAACATCTAGGGGCGGAATTGTATAAGCGATTCATTCAGTATTAATAATTAATGCTAAGCTTACCAAAATTCTGATTATTCTCCGTAATTTGCGGCATTTTGTTGAAATTGTAAGAATCCGCCAGATGCTGCACGTCAACAAAATCAAACAGCTGTTTGAGCCAGAAAACAGCTGTTCAAAGCAGCATTTTTCAACACTGTCACATAACAATTCGCAGCACTGCACCGGCTCAGAGTGTTGCAAAAGGTTGTCGCCCGGCACACAGTGTTGGACAGTGCTGCGATTGTGCCCAAAACGTAAACAATCAAAAATTTGTTTATTTTCGTTTACTTTTCGGCATAAATTCAAAACTAAATCCCCAGCATGAAATTCAAGTAATTCGCCGGCAACGCAAGCAAAGAGTTCCACGTGAGAGAGCCAGCCATTAGCCAGGTGGTCGACGGATAAGGAGCGATCCCCAACGCCACCATGTTCAAACTGGAGTCCTACATCACTCCGATTCTGCTGAACTACGTGGCCAAGTATGTCAAGAACTTCCGCGACGAGGATGCCCAGGTGTCGCTGTGGGAGGGCGAGGTCACCTTCCAGAATTTGGACCTGCGGCTGGAGGTGCTCGAGGAGGAGCTCAATATGCCCGTGGAGCTGGTCTCCGGCCACATCCACGAGCTGAGCATACAGGTGCCCTGGACCAAGCTGATGTCCGAGCCGGTTAAGATCGTCATCAACACGATCGAGTTCGTGGCCAAGCTGCCGGACAGCGAGAGCAAGCAGCGCCGGGCCTCGTTCCAGCAGGAGCAGCGCAGCAAAGCGCAGCGAACGCAAGACGAGGCGGCGGAGCAGCAGCCCAAGAGCTCCGCCCCGGCCAGTAGCTCCAGCGTGGTGAACAAGATCATCAACAACATCACGCTGCAGTGCAACAACATCATCCTGAAGTACGTGGAGGACGACATCGTGGTCTCCATGAACGTACAATGCCTGAACTTTACCTCCGCCGGCGAGGACTGGAAGCCCGCCATGGTGGATGTGCATCCCGTGTCCGTGGTCATGAGAAAGCTGCTGCAGATATCCGATTTGACCATCTGCCTGGACAAGCGGAACACGGACGGCCGAATAGATGTGTGCCAAGAGCCGGTGCTCTATCGCTGCAGCCTGGAGTGTCGCGTGCTCCGCAAATACAATGCCAAAACAGTGAGCACCTCCAGCACCACACGAATAGGAGTGCTTACCAAGGCGTTGGACATCAATGTGTCGTCTTTGCAATTCCCAATGATGATGAGACTGGCCAAAATGCTCATCGAACTAAAACCGGCTGCATCCGAGGAGGAACCGGCGAACCCGAATAACCAGACGGAGGATACAACCGAAAGCCACGCGGCACAGCAGGAAGCCGATCCCCCTGGACAGAGCCTGCTCTGGAGGGCCTGGAACATGCTGCCCAGCTTTGAGGCTGAGGCGCCTCCCACGGTGTGCGACGAACGGATGGGCCACGCCTTCGACATAGGCATCTACGCCGAGGAGCTGAACTTCCAGCTCAAGAACTCTGAGTACTTCACCGATCAGAGCATGGGCGGCATCAAGCGGATACGCTACACCCCGATCCTGCGGATCAGCCTGGGCGGGCTCTACTACGAGCGGTCGGAGTTGAAGGAGTGCGACTGGACGAACGTAAAGGCGGGGCTGTCCAGCATGTGCATGGAACCGATGGGTGCTTACCGAAGCGAGGAGCAAGTCGATCGCAACCTGGTCAACACGGAGTCGGTGAGTAGCAAATCGTTTTCTTGGCCACAAGAGGAAAGTACCTACTCTGCTCCCGCAGTTCATAGACGAGCGCTCCTTCATCGACAAGAGCCTGTTCGACGAGCACTACATGTTCGCCGATCGGATGTGGTGCAGCTACAACTACGAGGACTACGTGGCTCGGAACACGGATGAGTATATGCTGTTTCGCAGCCCCGTGCTGGCCTTTGACATTGTCGAGCACCGTGTGCCGCCCAAGACGAACCACACCAGCCACCATCCGGTGGCAGAGAGCCAGCTGCGGATTCAGTACCGTGTGCTGTCCGCCGGAATCACCTTCCACTTTTCGCAGTCCTTTGCGCAGGTTAAGAATGTAATTACCGATTTAATTCGTCCTTACGATTACTCGGGATATCATTCAGAAACGGTGAGCGATGTGAAGGCTCCTGAGGAGCACGCCGACATGACTGTGCCGGACTTGGAGTATCTGGTGGCCCTCGCACCCACGTGCAACTACAAGATCGAGCTGCGCAACATGGTAGTTCAGTTGTATCCGCGCCAGCAGAAGGAGGAGACATCGTCGAGTAACCATCACCAACTGACCACCACAGTGAAGCAGTCCCTGTTGCCATATTTGCAGCTGAGGCTGTCCCTGGTGGAGGGCACCATTTGCGGTCCAGCGAATCCCCAACGCCTTGTCCAGCTCATCCCTCATCTGCAGGACAAGCCTCGGGAGGTGCTCAATGCCTGCTATAACTGCTACAACTTCGGCATAAAGAATGTGACGCTGATAATTCTGAACACCAGTCTGGATGGTGGGCAGGCCAAGCTCTTGAGCATTCCCCGCATGCAGGTGACCTTGAACCGCCTGCTGCTGCCTCATCTCTGGCGGCAGAACGAGGCAGCGGCTTTGGAAAAGGCGGAACTCAAGTCAGAGATAATGGCCTTGGAGTTCTCAAAGAGAGATTTTATCCTGGCCAAGCGACTGGTTCCTCTGATCACGAGCTTTGATGCCTTTGAGCTGTGCCAACTGGCCCATTTAGTGGCCCAGGTTAATGTCCATTCAGAGTTGATAAAACTGCAAACTGTTTGCACCAAACTGGGCCTAAGCTACCACAAGTATCACTCCCACTTGGCTGCCGTTGCTTCGCTGCAAGGCATTCAGGCGGACGTTGTCCAAACCAAAATGAATTCTCGAAATGGTGTGCTTTCCACCTCGCCGAATGCCAACAACAAGTGGCTAGAGGTGCAGCTCCAGTTACCTCTGGAAGTGGACAATCAAGAGGAGCAAAAGAAGACTAGGACACCCGGCACTGTGGTGTGCCTTTGGCTGGAACCATTTCGCATCACCACGGATATTTACCTGCTGCAGTTTCTCAACTTTTCGCATCAGCGCAGCAAGCCGAAAGCTAAGGATAATGGTAAGTATTCCTTCGAGATCTTGGGTAAATAGGTATTTTTAGTAAACCCCCTCCTCAGAAGCTGACACCGACGTGGAGACACTCAGCCAGTCGGAGACACCTATTGCTCAATCTCTCTCCAACTACTCCACCATATCCGCCATGAACGACCTTCAGCCGCGTCGCATCAGCCGGAACAACAGTCGCAAGATCTCTGTGCCTGAGGAGACCGTCCATCTTAGTTCTGAGCGCGATGAGAAGCATACCCAGACGGAGCCTATAAACCCAGTGATGAGCAGCCATAAGCCCAAAGCAACTAACTTTGATCCCAAGCAGCTGGTAGATCGCCTGAGTAACCTCGTAGTTCTCGTGGAGATTGCCCAGGCCCAGGTGAACGTGTGCGAGGCAATGATGCTTAGAAAGTCAGGAGAAGAGGATGTTGAGTACACCTCTATCCGCTTGCCTCATGTCAAGGTAAAATCAGGCAATTGCGACTCCATCCAGCGTGGCAATATCCGATCCGTGGTCTGGTTGGCCACCCAAGCGGAGCTCTTCAATTGGGTCATCGATCTGAACGAGTTCAATGTGTGCTGCCGTCGAGCGAATGTAACCGAGATGATAGTGGCTCCAGTTAGGACCACCATAACCCTGGCTCTGTCCCACAAAGTGGCTGAAGCGGAGCAGCAGCAGAGAACCAGCCAGGTGGCTGAAGCGGAGCAGCAGCAGAGAACCAGCCAGGTGGCTGGATCGGAGCAGCAGCAGAGAACCAGCCAGGAGAGCCAGGAGAGGATAAGTGGAGGATCGGAGGAAGCGTCTGATCAGGGCACCTACTCCATAAATGTTCATGTGGATATGTCGGCCATCAATATATTCGCTGTGAGGGTAAAACTGTTGCATGAGCACTGCCAAATCCTTGCCAAGACGTACGCCTCCCTTTATCCGGATGAACCTGCTCCATTAAAGTGCAAGCCCATTGAAGTCAAGCCCAGACTAGAAGTTTACACTGGCAGTTCGCAGAACTATCCGGTGATCAGGGAGTTCCTGGAGCTAGATCCCAACTTTGAGGCACCAAAACCTCATTCCCTTACAGCTCCCAAGATCTCGCTGGTAATATTTTGCCAATGGACAATACCCCGAATATGCTTGGAAATGGAGAACACGGTGAATACTAAGCACAGTAAAATGGTGACCACCCTGGAGGATCTTCTTCTGAATATCGACAGGCACAGTGACTTTACCAAGATTACCACAAAAGTGGAAAACTTCAGCCTCAACTATTACGAGGAGAGGCAGCCTCAAGATTGGGAAAGAATCGAGGACTTTCACATCAAAATGCTGGGAGATGGTGGCACAAATTTGCCTCTATTGAATGTGGTGGTCACCACAGTCAGCCTGCAGGATCTGTATGCGAAAATTGGAGCCAGAAATCCTCGCAACAAGCAGCACACCATCTCTGAGGTGCTAATCGATGTGCAACCAATAGAGATGGTGTTGGACTTGGATCAAATAACCGAGTTTATAACACCGCTGTGTGAGGTACTTGAGATAATAAAAAGTCCCAGTCCTGAGGAGGCATCATCGTCCCAGCCATCTGTTCCCAGCCAGATTACCACGGTTCAGGACCTGCCCATGGTGCATTTGAACAGCAAGGGCATCTACGTTTACATTCCCTTGTCGACGGGCAGAAAGAACTGCAGTGTGCTGCTGCTCAGGGTAAGTTGCAGCTTGAACTACCGATATTTTTGGGGGGGAAATCCGGCCTGTTTTATAGGGGTTTTTTACGATTTTTATACCCTTGCAGGGTATTATAATTTCAGTCAGAAGTTTGCAACGCAGTGAAGGAGACGTTTCCGACCCTATAAACCATATATATTCTTGATCAGCATCAACAGGGGAATCTTTCTAGATATGTCCGGAAGAAATCGATTTTTTGGCCATTTTTGCGAAATTTCATAAGGGGTTACATCATTAAAATTAGCAAAAATGACCAAAATTTTTGATTTCTTAAAATTTTAAATTTGGTATGCAGTTTTTTTTAATTAATAAAAACTAACACAAAACTGCTTTCCGAATCGAAATTAATGCATTTTTGGCTTAGTTGTGATATATTTTAATTGTTACCTGCAAGGGTATACAAACCTTGGCTGGCCAAGGTTAGCTTTCTTTCTTGTTCTATAATTATATACTCGTTTTAAACAGATCGAAAGCATTCAGCTTACGCCGAGCCTCGAAAATCCCCTGGTCCGGCAACTCGTCCGTTCGGATATCTACCAAAAGGCCGCCGAGCTGAACATGCTAAATACTCCCGGCGCCTTGGTCGAGGATCGCCAGTATGAGCTAAGCGTTAGGAAGGTATCCCTGTCCACCGGCAACTGGAAGCAGACACAGAGGTATCGGCGCGAAAAGAACTTGGCCAGCAAGCACAACAACCCCGCCTTTGAGTGGAACAACCAGAGTCAGGCCACCGAGCTGGACCACATGGAGATCTTCAAGGACTTTGACTTTATCATGATCTATGCTCCGGCCATAAGCTACGATCGCTACCTCGTAAGCGGCCAAAGTGTGGAGTATAATTGCGTCACAGACTTTGTTTCCTCGCTGAACACACATCAAATTAGCCTGATTTGTTGCATATTAGTCCGTATGCAGCGGCTAAGTTGCATCATCGATGACGTCTGTGTGGCAAAGTGTGCCAAAGAAAGAGCACTTGGCCAGGTATCCGAACGTAGAAGCACCAGTGACACCGCTTTGTTGTCTTCTACTAAACCCAAAAAATGCTCTCAAAAGTTTCCTAATAGAAACTGCCGACAGGATCTAAATAACAAGCAAAGGAGCTCTAGTTTCTTGGATGCCAGAGGGAGTAGTGACATATTTTTGGGATCTTGCCAAAGCGATTCGGGCATCAACTTGTCGGGCAGTCGTGGTAGGAGTTATCAAAGATCTCTGACTGCCGACGACTGCCTTCAGCGAGGCTATCCTCGCAGCGTGTCCTTTGTGGCTGGCATATTCGTTTTGAAAATCTATGATGTCCTAGAACTGGAGGATCTGGAACGTCCGGCCATGAAGCCTCTACTTTTAATCCTCGTGTCCCAGCCCAGTTTCATGTCCACACAAAACCTGAAGGCCTCCGTAACTCAAGCCTCCATTTTTAATGTCAACGTCAATGTGGCTACCCCTTCGACAGGGGAGGACAACACGGACTTGGATCAGTTTAATGAGCCCATCTTTGACACATTACCTGGCCAGTTGAGCAGCTCGGGGATTCCTCCTCCCCTGCTGACCATGAGGACCCAGTACGATCGCCTGCAGCAAAAGGAAGTGGATGTGGACCTGCGAAAGCCCATCCTGCTGCGATTGTGTGAGACGCGAGTGAAGCAACTGGCCAGTGATGTGATCCGCATTTACACGGTTCTCAACGAGACTCCCTGCTTTGCCGTGCGCAGCCAGCGTCCCGTGGAGGAAGGCTCGCAGCTCCGGCAGATGAAGACGAACTGCTACAACGCAGATAGGTTGCATTTATCCAGCGATCGCATCACCATCAAGTTCTACGACGAGGAACGGTCGTACAAGTGCAGCCTGGTGTGCCTGGACTTTAGCACCCGCATCAAGTTCAGTGCCCGACCCCAAAAGGCTGTCATTAGGTCCACCTTGGGTTCCATCTATGTCCAGTCGGGGGGCAAGATGTTGCTGCATCCGTTGCTGATGCGTTTGTCGGTGGATCTGGTCAGTGAGCCATGGTGCGACGAACTGTTGATCAATGCCACCTTCAAGTTGAACTTCCTGCACGTAGATGCAGCTGTTCTGAGTATTCTGCAGCTGCAAAAGGCACAGGATGGTGTCAATCGCATACGGGAGTATGCCAATGAGGAGTGGCAGCAGTTCCTCTATCGTCGTCCTGTGCTGGGAACTCCTGAGGAGATCCCACCCTGCGATCTAATCAAGTGCACGCCGTCGAATGAGTCCATAGAGAGAATCAAAAGGCCTTTGAATTCTACGGCTGAATTTTACCAGGATGATCTTAGGTGAGGAAAGAAACTCATGTGGATTTGATTTAACTAACCATAACAATTTCTTAGAAAGTGCCCCTTTTTGGCACTGAATTAACCATAACCTCCCTTAACTCTTCAACTCTCTAACCTTTTTCAGAGCTGGCGCCTTTCAGTTTGTGTATTTAAACTCAGAGTCCGTGCTGCCCATGCCCTACCAAGTGCAGATCATCAAGAAGAACTATGGAATTATTTGTTGGCGCTACCCACAGCCCCGGCAGATGACCAGCATCCTTATATATCCAGTGCCCATGCCAGTTAGTCATCCCATTCAAATCAGATGCCGCATGGAGTACTTTAGTGAGACACACGAAACCTTTCTCCACTACTGCGATTTCCTGCTCTCGGAGACCGCCACCAGGCAGTTGACCCCACCGGATCGTCCCATCTGTGCCACCATCTGGAGGGTGGTCATTCTGCAGTCCCTGATCGCTGTGGATGGCACTTGTTTTGAGGGCGACACGGATGAGGATCTTTCGGTAAAACTTTCGGTAACATTAACTGATAAACTCATCTAATTCACAACTCCTTCCAGATTGAGTACATCCACTCCGACTTTAAGGCAGATGAAACCAATGACTTTATATTGCATCCCAAAGTTCTGGTGGGTTGCATGCGCATCGATACGGTTTTTAGGCCCGAGCAAGTGCCAAAACTGCAGGTGTTGCTCTGCTGCCAGGACATTGAACTGAACTTTCTGAATCAGCCAGAAGTTGGCGGAGAGCTGCCACCACTGCTGAAGGAGTACAGCCTCAGGCAGCCCCTGAATACCAGCCAAACTTTTCTCACAGTGCACGTGGAAGACCTGCAAATGCATTCTACGATTTATTCTGGACAGGATTTCAGCTTGCAGACCGAACTAAGGAGTCGAGTCAAGTGCCTGGACTATGGTTTCCTCAATATGCTGGACATTGTGGAGCCCCTGAAGTTCACCAGTTACGTGAGAGTTAGCCAGTGTCCCAGAGCCTCGGTGGAGGCTAACTTCGTGGTGGACAAGCTGCGCTTCAACTGCGGCCCCTATGTGATCCACACTTTGCTGAGTTCCAAGCAACATTGGCAGCAGGTGTTGCAGCAACGCGAGTCCCGTGACGCCTTCATGCCCAAGTGCCTGATAGTTAACCGCATGCAGATACCCTTTGGTTTTGGCCAAACGGGGACTGTGGAAAGGATCACTGTGGCGCCCGGTGAAGTGCAGTTCTATCACTTCAGAAGCTGTGCTTTCCGTCAGGAGCTTACCTTCTTCCTCGCAAATCTGCAGGAAGGGCAGAAAGTCGTGTCGAGTGACTCCGTTCACATACCTTTAAAGTTCGAGGAGGAGCACAGAGTGCAGCACTTAAGGGTGGGAGACTGCTGTCTAACGCTCAAGATGTCCAAGCTGTCGGCCACTCAGATATATATTCTGGTCAAGGGTCAAATTGAAGTGATGAGCATGGTGCCCCACAGCCTGATCACAGAGTTTCGCGTGGATGGAGAAGAGAATGGCCCTGGGGAACACCTGTTGTCCCCCAAGGAGAGATTCTTGTCTTTCTACCAGCCCGTAAAGCGTTGTGCTGATATTAATATGCGGTGAGTGAAGGTTATTTACAGAAGAACTTGCAGCATTCCATAATCTATTTGATCTTTAGCTTGAAGCTATGCTCTGGTCAGGGCAAGGGCCGCACTGGTGACATCCCCCTGAAGCCCAACAACAACAATCTGCCTTGGTTGGTAAAAGTGCCCACGCAAGCGGCCCAGCAATTCATCAGCTTGTGGGTTCGAATCTTGCGCGAGGACATAGAGATGGAGCATCTTGACGAGGAATTTCAGCCACAGAAAATTCTAATCTGCATTTGGCCCATCTTCGAGGTGTGCAACATGCTCAGCTGTGATATTCAGGCCATTGAAAGTACCAGTGGGGAGATGGCCACCATTGCAGCAAAGGGCGGAAGTTGGCCTCTAAACACGGCCACCACTCATGCCACCGAGCATAAGGTTTCCTTTAATTTTCCGTAAGTTTTCCACTTGGGTTTAGGGTATTTCTTCCTAATTAATATTCAAATTGTAGAGCTCCTTTGGGGGTCACTTCTGAGAGCGAGTACACGATGATGCTGAAGACCATGGACTGGCACAAGTTCTTCAATTACGATTCCAGCGTTTGGACCATTGAGAATGCTCTGGACAAACTAAGCAAAAACCCAGAAGTCAAGTGGCCACTGAACGATCCTGAAGAGCTGCGCCTGCAACGCGAGGTGAAGATGCCTGGCCAAAGTCCATTTGATGTCAGATACCATACCAGTGCCACGAGGGAGTTTTCGTGTACTTTGGGACTCAATGTGAGTGCCTGGGGCATGTTTATCAATTCTACAGGGTTGGAGGTGAGCCTGCGCACGATCAAGGACCCAGCACGGATTCGCATCAAAGCCAATGGCTTGGAAATGCTGCCAAGGATAACAAGTGCCTTCTGCATTCAAGTTTTCTACAACTCCGAGTGGTTTACTTCAACGAACATTTGCTTGGAAGAGCAGTCGGCCAACAATGCGGGAAGAACCATGTCCTTGCGCTGCAATTCCTTTGTGGACGTTGTATTAGTCGAAAAGGATCAAGTATTCCGTTTAATGCTGGAATACAAACAGGAAGCCGACGGCCGCCGTGTTTTCAAACTGCATTCCAAGTTTGTATTGAGCAATTTTACGGATGTAAACCTCAATGCTTTGCCCTTGGCAATGGATCACAAGGAGTCGGCCTCGCGGGAAGAAGTAGATGCCTATGCCTTTGCCAAGGAACCCCGGAGTCTAACGTCTGCGGAGGCCAACAAGAACTGGTAGGAAGTATATTACAAAGATCTTTATGTCTTAATAATTTCAATATTATTTTCTTGCAGCATTGGCACATCCCTGGATGTTTTTTACGATCTTGGCCACAAACACAACTGTGATACTGCCTTCGTGTACTTCGTTTGCTTCAGTGTTGGCGGCCATCGGGACATTTCCATACCCATTCCCCTGGCCATACCATTCGCCAGACGCTGCTTCAGCTTGCAGGCGGGACGCGAATCCATTCCCCTGATGATCACCCTGATTGAGAAGGACAATGTGCTCTATCTGAACGTGTTCCGGGACACGGCGCCAGCCATTATCATCAGCAACAATACGAATATCAAGTTTATAGTGGCCCAAACGAGTGCCTCGGAGAACAGCAATGTTAGCGTCACCAATTCCGAGTTTGTGGGCAGGCACTTCGAGTGGAATCAGTTGGTGCTGGCCCACAGCAAGTGCTATTATACCCCACCGCAGATGTATGCTAATTTTCCGGACGTGGAGTTCACCATGTGCAATCTATCCCTGGCGGTATATAAAGGTGGACAGTGTGGCAAAAACAAAATTGGATGGTCGAAGCCGGTGAGAACCGACAAGACGTGGCAGAAGTTCCTTCACATACCCAACCACGGCGATGTGAAGGTGGTGGTCTGTGATAAGCATCGGGTTATCCGGCTGAACATCTATTACATAGCTCAGCAGCTGGAGTTTTCGGTGAAGGACTTGCGTTCGCGCCTAACCAAGCCAGAAAATAATTTAATGCCAGCCGAGGATCAAGAGCTTCTCAGTTCCGAGGAGAAGGCATCCGAAGAGCAAGATCCCCTGCCGGTTATGGTGGCCTGTTCCCACTTTAGTGAGGAATGCGAAACAAAGCTGCAGACCAAGATTAGGGTCTTCATCAAGAGCCTCGTGTTCAGTCTGCAGACGGACAACCGGGAAAATGACTACCTAAAAACCGAAGTGTGCAATATCTACGCCGACGACCTAATGGCCATCTATGACGACATCGATGAGGGCAAGGAGGATCGGCGGGAGCTCCGCCTGCAGTTGCCCAACCTGCAAGTGGACAACCAGCTGTACTCCAGCGGAAAGTACGATTTCCCAGTGCTGCTTTGCGCGGAGAAACTCTACAAGCGGAACTGTGCCCTGCCCCAGGTTTACTACTTGGATGCCGTTTACCAGCAGCAGCCGCTACGAGCTCCCGTCTCCCTGTTCACCTTTGTCTTCTACCAGGATGAGATGCAGCTGCAGAGTGTTCGCTGCGAGATTCCCCCGTTTCGCGTCTACATCGAAGACGCCTACCTCAACCAGCTGCTGGAGGCACTCGTGGAGTGTGAGCCGTCCCATTGTGTGTATAGTCCGGCTGTGGAGCAGGATAGGATCCTCCTCTCTGCCGGGCAAACCCTGCTTCCCGACCAGGTTGTGGCCCAGTCCTTGTACATATCGGAGCCGCTGCGACTCAATACTTTCACGGTGGAGCCACTGAGTCTTCTGCTTTCCGTCCATACTTCGTCGAGGCTGTACATAGCCTTGGATCATTCCCCGCTTTCCTTCTCCCGCTACGAGCGGCAGCAAATCCTCACAGTTCCCCTGCGATTCGGGCAATCCTTGGGTCTGCACTACCTCAGCGGAGCCATCTTTGGCGCTGGCTGGGTAGTTGGTTCCCTGGAGATCTTGGGGAGTCCTAGCGGACTGGCTCGCTCGTTTAGCACCGGTCTCCGGGACTTTGTGTCCATGCCGGTGCAGGGACTCTTCCGCGGACCCTGGGGCTTCCTGGTGGGCGTGACCCAAGGCTCTGCCTCTCTGCTGCGCAACGTGACCGCTGGGACAGTGAATTCCGTGACAAAACTGGCTGGGTCAGTGGCCCGGAATCTGGACAGGCTGACTCTGGACGCCGAGCACATCGAGCTGACGGAGGCCAGGCGTCGGGCAAGACCCCAGGGCTTTGCCGATGGATTGACACAGGGTCTGACGGGTCTGGGTATCAGTTTACTGGGCGCCGTAGGTGGTCTAGCTCATCACACCTTGGAAGCGCGCTCTTCCGTCGGGGTTATCGCTGGCATCACCAAGGGCATCGTTGGGGCGTTCACGAAACCCATCAGTGGAGCTGCCGAGATGCTGGCACTCACGGGTCAGGGTGTTCTCCATACGGTGGGCTTCAATACGATGCCCCAGCAGGTGGAGCCGAGTATGACGAGGAACGTGGCGCTACACGGCAGCTCCTCGCGCATTTGGAGCTATCTGCCCGAGGAGTTGAGCCACGATCAGGTGCTGTTCTTCTGCGAAATCACCCTGCTGGTCAGCACACAGCTTCGTCCGGCTGTGGTGTTCCTCACCTCATCCGTGCTGGCCATAATGCAGCCAGACAGCGAGGACCTGACCTTCGCCTCGCCCGTTTCCAAGGTTGATGTGGTGGCGGACCGAGAGGATCCATCGAAGCTCTACCTTAGCCTGAAATCGGAGCAGAAGGATGACCTAGAGGGGGTGAGTTATTATTTATTTATTATTTTATTTGTTATTTTATTTGTTATTTATTCCGTATTTTAGCAACTCAACTATACCAACGAGCGGATTATGAAGTTCCTTAATGCCTCCCGACTTCAAAGCATTGCCAACGATTCCCTAAACGACTTGCTCCAGCTCCACGAACAGGATGTGGACGATCGAATCCAGCGCCAATCACAATGTATCTTCTACATTAAGCCCAACATAGGCGAACATCTGATCCACTACCTGAAGGTAATAAATCGGATAAAGGATTGATGCCACCCATACGTGTCTGGATTAGTCTAAAGTATTCTAAGGATCATGTGTGTGTTAAATGCCAAAAAAAAAAGACATTTTTTGTTACATTTTTAAAATAAAAAATTAAAGAAAAACAGTACTCCAACCTCTGATGATATAAATAATTTAAAACCAGTGTGCAAAGGTGGGTTTCAACGCCAATACCAGAAAATTCAATTTAATTAAATTGGTTTTTCGCTTAAACCGCCCCAAAGCCAAAACAATGAAACTTAAAACTTACAGGTCGCACGTGGATGCAACTTAATCATGGCCAGATAAAGCTAGCTAAGGCAAAGCCATCGGAGATTGGAGGAAACTTGTAAAAATTAACCTGTCGTCCGCAAAAACCGCCGAACGGAAGTGCTTGCCATTTTTTCGAGTTAAATATAATTTCCTTGGCTTTCTAGCTGCACAGAGGGAAATTTTAGGAAATTATTTCTAATTGAATTAAAAGGTTTTATACCAAATATTTATAGCAAAGTAAATAATATATATTTTAATAATTTCCTTAAAATATTCATAATTTCTTGTAAATTTCTGGCAAGCAAAAATCTCCTTTCTTTTATGTTAATATTTTTTTTCCTGTGTTTTTTGCTTGCCTTCTGGGTTGGCTGACTGGTTTTGGCCTTGTATGTGTGTGCGGCGGTGCACGACCCAAAGATTCAATTATGGGCGGTTGGTGGCTGTTGGCGGCCGGCTCTCACCGCATCCGCAGCTTTGGCCCGGACCAAGTCGCTTATTGAACCCCCGGTTGGCCTTCTTTATGTGTTTGACATGTCTCCGGAGGGGGTGTATGTGGCACAGATTTGCACACGGAATCCGGATTCCGGATCCCGTGGATCCGTGGGCCAAATGTGTGTGTACGTCTATTGTTTTATGTTTATAAAGGTGGGCATTTAACGACTCTACTGTGCCTCGCCCTAAAGTTGGCCCATTGTGTCCGCTTCCGCCGTTTGTCCCCCCCGGCCGCATATTTATGCAGCAGACTCACACATTAGAGCCCTGCGATGCCAGTGATTTGCCCTCATAAGTAGGCTACGACTACGACTCTTTTCTGCTCGCCATTAAGCCTGGAGCCGAGGAGGATCCTCATTAAGGAGCCATGGACCTGACCAATGCAAACCCATCTGGCTTTGATTGAGGCCCAGCTAACGACCTGCATTTAAAAGGCTTTTCATTCTGCACTCAAGTCCTGCTCACACATATGTGCAAAAGTGGCCACAAGGCCATCGACCAATGCATTATGGCGACGTCTCCATTTTGTTTTGTGCTTTATGCACGGCCTTGGAGGCACAAGCAAAGGCGCAGTCGAGAAGAAAGGGTACTTATTTAGTATATGCCATTAAGATAAGCCAATAGCTGGTCAGTTCAGCAAGTAATTTCTCGACCAAGTTCAAACTAATCCTGTAAATGTTATGGCTTTGTTTTATGCCCTGTTTAGTGCTATAATATACCCGCTAAATGGGGTTAATTCATCGCAAATAATATGAATAATAAAAGCCTGAGATTTGAGGGCTTCTTAATGAAGATTTATAGTAAACTTATAACCCTATTAAATCTTCATTAAATAAGTTAAGCTAGGAAAAACTTTGATATATACAACAAGAAAGGAAGCTAACTTCGGCAAGCCGAAGTTTGTATACCCTTGCAGATTGGTTTTCATATTTATATCATAAATTATAATGCCGAAAACAGACACTAAACAGAGTTTCATAACATTTTACCTATACTTATTATGTTTACAGTTTGACAGTTACAGTTATACATTCCCAGCTTTACATTTTCTCCACATCTACGGATCGCTTCTATGGCAGCTATATGATATAGTTGTCCGATTTTCATAATATTGTTACCAAAATTCTGAAATAAGCTCATGTCTCAAAGTAAATGAAAATACGTTGAAAAACAACGGAGTTATAATTTTGTCTATTACTTTCCCTATCGTTCCTATGGCAGCTATAAGATATAGTCGTCCGATTTTCATAAAATTTATACCAAAATTCTGATAAAATACCAGAAGCTCATGTCTCAAATTAGATTTAAAATTTTTTTCTAATATTTTAACTTTTTTTTTAGATTTTTAAAATTTTTTTAGAATTTAAAAAATTTTTTTAAATATTTTAACTGCCAAATTTGAATTTGAATTTAACTGTCTAATTTGAATTTAAAGACGATCAGTTTCAGTGTGCCCAGGTGCAGTTGTAAAATAACAACTAAATTTGGATTCAAAAGGTTTGAGTCTCCGCTTACTTCCGCCGGCTCCGAAATGGTTTGAAACTTGGACTTTTTATAACAGTTTATACCAGTTTTCAGTTGCTTGCTGCTGGTTTCTGTTCGCCTGTTACCCCAATTTGGGAAACGGGCAATTTGCATGGAAAATTTCAGAAATTTGTATGGACAGCTGCAGGGATGTTGTTGTAAAGGGGTTGTTGTTGCCATCAAGCTGTTGTTGTCGGCAACAAATAGGTATAAATGCATAAAATGAAATATAACAGTTTATACCAATTATTATTTTTGCCCAAATGTTTTTATAACAGTTTATACCAGTTTTCAGTTGCTTGCTGCTGGTTTCTGTTCGCCTGTTACCCCAGTTTGGAAAGCGGCCAAATCGAATGAAAAAATTTGCTCACTTGCATCAGTGATGCTCATCTCCATCAGTGATGCTCACTTCCATCAGTGATGCTCACTTCCATCAGTGATGCTCACTTCCATCAGTGATGCTCACTTCCATCAGTGATGCTCACTTCCATCAGTGATGCTCATCTAGCTATATTGCAATATTGGGAGGCTATAAAATCGGGCTTAATGGCAGTGATGCTCATCTGGCTATATTGCAATATTGGGAGGCTATAAAATCAGACTTTGCATCAGTGATGCTCATGTAGCTATTTTGCAATATTGGGAGGCAATATATCAGGCGTAATAGCAGTGATGCCCATCTAGCTATATTTCTTTATTGGGACAAAATAGATAGATGAGCATCACTGATGCAAAGTCAGATTCAGTGTGCCCAGGTGCATTTAAGCAACATTTTAGCCAAAAAATGTACAATATGGTCACATCTGGTTTGAGTCTTCGCTTACTCCAAGATCAATGGTTCGAAACTTGGACTTTTTATAACAGTTTATACCAGTTTTCAGTTGCTTGCTGCTGGTTTCTGTTCGCCTGTTATCCCAATTTGGGAAACGGGCAATTTGCATGGAAAATTTCAGAAATTTGTATGGACTGCTGCAGGGATGTTGTTGTAAAGGGGTTGTTGTTGCCATCAAGCTGTTGTTGTCGGCAACAAATAGGTATAAAAGCATAAAATGAAATATAACAGTTTATACCAATTATTATATTTGCCCAAAAGTTTTTATAACAGTTTATACCAGTTTTCAGTTGCTTGCTGCTGGTTTCTGTTCGCCTGTTACCCCAGTCTGGAAAGCGGCCAAATTGAATGAAAAATTTTGCTCACTTGCATCTGTGATGCTCATTAGCATTATTAAAAAATTAAAGCATACTTTTGGGGGTTTCTATTAAAAACGTGGCATCTTTTAGGCGGAAGTTCAGATTACAGTTTGATAAGCACTGGTCCAAGTGAGATTCAACTTTTACAGTTTGACAAGCACTTTTCGGATAATATAAAATGGCCATATCTAAAAAATGGTGCAAAAATGTTGAAAAACAGCTAAGTTATAATTTTTTTCTAAAAATTTATCGAACATTTGTATGGGAGCTATATGATATAGTCGTCCGATCCGGCCCGTTCCGACATATATAGCAGTGAGAGTATACCCTAGACCCTATACAAAGTTTCATTCAGATAGCTTTAAAACTGAGGGACTAGTTTGCGTAGAAACAGACAGACGGACAGACGGACAGACGGACAGATGGACAGACGGACAGACGGACAGACGGACATGGCTAGATCGACTCGGCTGTTGATGCTGATCAAGAATATATATACTTTATAGGGTCGGAAAGGTCTCCTTCACTGCGTTGCAAACTTCTGACTGAAATTATAATACCCTGCAAGGGTATAAAGATCAAAGCTCAAATAAATAAAGTTAAAATACAAACCCTGTTACCCATTTCTGTGCTCTTCACTCGAAAGCTATTACTTTTTGTTTTCCCACTCCAAGGCAAAGCTTTAAAAACCTGCGGAAACCCCATTTAGACTTCCTGTTGCCATCACAAGGGTCTATGGCTACACACTTGAATCCTGTTGAGTCTCACTCACGCATATGGAAATGGGAAAGGAAAGTACACACATTTAAGTATATCTGGTCAAAGTAGAAATCCGTGTGACTCTCGCTAATGTATGGTAAATTCTGGGAAAACAATCCTCCGGTGATTTAAAAAACATGCTTTTTGCGCGAATTTTTCGGTGGTGCACAGAAAACAATAAGGGGTGCATTCGACTTTTACACACTCTGTAATCTTTTATATTTAAATTAAGGAAAATATAGTAAAATTCATTTAAAGCAGACTCTGTGACTATGTAGTCTCCCTGGAGAGTGTTTAAAGGGTGAAACCACTCACTCGTCCAATAAATCATTCCTGATCTGGAGTACCCTTCATCTCTACCTGTGGCAGGTAGGAAAAATCACCGAATTATTCATAACTTGTAGGAGTAAAACGGTGGGGAATTAAGTGTGTTGAGGGGTGTTTTTTTGAAATACGAGTACGTTTACGCTTCGCTGGCTGGGGGGAGTGAAGAGCTCCCAGCATCAAGGCACATAAAATAAAATGAAATACACAAAAAAAATCAAATGCAATTTTCTCTAAAATGGTTACTGATAAAAAATTGATACGCCAGCGAGAGCCTAGATGGCTTGTGGGCATATATGAAGCCGTTAACACACGCACATATGCACTCAAATACGGCGTATATTTTTTTTTCCTTATTCAGACTGAGAGATGGCGCCCTAGGCAGTTGGATTATTCATATTTAAATACGACTTACACCCTGTCGGAGGAGCAAGACTCGCCTCCTCGCACTTGGCACTCCAAATATAATATAGATGGAATAGCTGAGCAAACAGAGACTGCCTCTGTCGGAGGCTGTTGACAGTCTTTATTTGTGCAGCCGGAACACCACCGAAAACCGGAAACCGAACGCAGCTTAGAACAACGTTTTGATGGAGAAAGACGCTTTATTCGCAATCGGTTTATATATTCAGACATTTATATTTACACGCACATATACACATTCATAGTCATTTGTTTGGTTTTTATTACAACTTAAGCAAGCAGCCGTAAGCAGCATTGAGAACAATTAAAAAACTGGGCCTAGGAACCAATCCGAATATTTACAAGTTGCACGTTGTGGATCAGTGGCTTCCGTAACTCCGTAATTATGTAGCTAAACGTTAAATGGACATGCTCTTTGGTGTATGAAAATGTTTTATACTCGTAGAATTCAATATAGTCTTTCCTTGCACGAACCTATGTGTTTTTTTGTCAAGTGTTTGAGGTGGAAATTCGAAATTGTTTGGGTCTGTGATATGTCAAGGGGGACTGAAATCGGCAAAGTTTTTTATCCTAACTTAGTTTCTGTTTCTTTTAGAACGAATTGAAGTCTAGACTAGGGTAATTCAGGTCCAACGACATGGTAAAAGTAAAAATTCGAGACCTTAAGTTAGCTTAGAGCCAGGTTTTGTCATCGCTGGAGTCTCGTTCCGTTCCGGGATTCCCCCGCCGGTAGTTGTTGTTGTACGGCGACGAGCAGACAATCTGGGTTTGCAGCTCCAAACTCTCCGGCGGCACCACCTGGATGGCCGGCTGTCAGGAGAGCAGCTGAGTGGTATTGCTGTTGGAGTTACTGCCGGCATTGGTGGCTGGGCCCTGCCCTGTCCAGCGTTGTTGCAGCTCCTGCTGGTAGGACAACCGCTTCCTGCCGGATTGTTTCTCCGGCTGCTGGCTATTCCTCAGCGTCGTATTGCGAGGAGTTCCTAAATATAAAAATAAATAGAGATAATTAAGTTGCAGCCTCATTACATACACTTGACGAGCTTAAAACTCACCGCAGTGCGAAATTCGATGCGACTTCGGTGAGCTGGGGCAGGTGTACAGTATCGATTTCTGGGTATCTATCAATGCGAAACTCATTAGTCCTTATTTTTTCTTTTTCCTATACCCTGGTTAGACTTACCGTTGCGTTTGATGCGGTTGTGATCCGGGGAGCCGGAGCAGGAGTATCGGGACGTCAGGTTCTCCCGCCGACTGAAAGGCTCCGTGCCCACACGGACAAACAGACACCAGCGAAAGACCATTTTGAAGCCATAACGAAAGCTGCAAGGATACGTGGGGGAAAAATAAATAAATAAAATCTTATTAGCAACAGGTACTCCCTACACAGAGTACATAGTTTTATAGTTGCAGTCCTGAGTACACTTGTAATAAAACCTATTTCAATGCCAGGTCCCCCCTTATCCTTAGACTTAATCGATGATTTATGGCTGAGAGGTTTGGCCATCCTTAGAATACATCAAGTTGTTCTATTTACGCAACTATTATGGCTTCTTTTAGTACACCGACCTAGACACTGCTTACACAGGAGTGTTCGGCCATTGCGGCAACTTAATATCTCCATGTTCCCCGGGGACATAAATAAACCCTTCATCGTGGTCGTTGTCGTCATCATTTGCATATGGGGCGCCATCAATTGACAGGAGCTACAGGCCACACGTGCTGGCATGAATGCTCTCCATTTCTTTTTTTTTTTTTTTTGCACGGCATGGAGAACCCATTATCCCCGGGCCAGCTTGCTACCATCAGTCAGATATCCGCTGACTGAGCGGAATTAATTGCAATCCGTAACGTTTTTCCGGACACGGACGCGCGAACACCAACTGCCAATTTGTATGCGTTGGTATGTATCATATACTATATACTATTTTCTATATATAGATGTGCGTACAGTGCCTTTGTTTCAGTGCGGATATAGGAAGTTGGAGAGTACAATAAAGGTGGGTTTAATAGTTTTAATATTTTTTTTTATTTTTTTGTGGCATTGCAAAATATGTTTTTGGTTTTTTGCACAAAGTTGAAAGTTTAATTTCCGTATAATACTTTGTGTTGGCTTTTCATGAAAATGATTTTGCGTGATTTACGAATAATTATATTATTTATAAAACAAGTTTTTCACAAAGCTGTCATATTTAGCTTTTACTTTGACAAGTTCTTGTACCCTTACAGGGTATTATAACTTTAGTCAGTAGCTTGAAAATCAGTTAAACTTCCTAAAAATAACACAGAAAAGCTTTCCGAAATGAAAATTATGCACTTTTGGTTAAGTTATGAACAATTTTTTTAATTCTATGCGATTATTCTATGGCAACCTGCCAGGTTATACAAATTCTGGCCTTCCAAAGTTAGTTTCCTTTTCTTGTTAATATTTTAACCCCAGCTGTAACTGGGTCTGCGAGAATCATGTTGTCATTTATATGACCAAGCTGTATTCCAACTACAACCACGGAAACCACGATGACAAGCCCATCAGTTTCCGGGGAGGAGCTCGGCGACTGCGACTAATCTGTCGAAGGGTTTCCTGCTGAGATGCCTCCGAAAGCCAGTGCACTTAGTGGCCTAATGTTGCTAATTCAACCGCAAATTACATGATTCGTCGCGGGTTAGGGCAAGCAAACTAACATGGACATGGACATGAGAACCACTACCACTCACCGGGAATTCATCCAGCAGTATATAATGGGGTTGTACATGGAATTGCTCATGGCCAGCCAGTAGATGGCCAAGTACAGCTCCTGGATGAAGGGCGCCTCGGTGATGGCCGGGTAGCAGGATGTCACAATGAAGTAGCTGTGAAAGGGCAGCCAGCATATGGCGAATATCAGAACGACGACAATCATCATCTTTACCACCTGGAGGGAAATTTAATATATTTTAAATTAATAAATTTAAAGTATGTAATTGTAATGAATTGATTGTTGTTAATAAAGAAAGATAAATTAATCTTTACTGTTGTTTACAGAAGAGTTTTATTGAACACTTATATGCTCTTTGGGTCTTACTTTATGCAATGAATTATAAAAAAGCAATAAGAATAAATCGATTACAGAAATTCGAAAGAAATACTTTACGATTATTCTATTATTTATTTCTGTTTTTTATAGCTTTAAAACTTTTTGGGAAAGTAGCATAACTTTGGAGACCTAAGGTAAAGTCCATAAAAAGTTCTAACAGACTGCCAACGAAAAGTTAAATAAAAGTTTAGGTGAAATTCAGCAAAGTTCAAATAATAAGGAAAACAAAGGCTTTGAAGGTATTTAACTTTATGAAAACTAAAAATGAATATAAACAAATAAATGAATAGTTTTTAAATCACAAAAAAAAGGTAAACGCCCCCGCAGAGATGACAAGCTTTGGTGGAGCCACAACCATCTCTTATTACAGTCCCGGAATCCCGGGACTTTACACTTACCCGCCGCTTGCTCCGCACATTCTCCACCTGCCGCGGCGTGCACTCCCCGATGGTCTTGGAGCCCCAGAGTTCGATGCCCACGCGCGAATAGGTGACCGTCATGGAAACGATGGGCAGGAAGTAGGTGAGTATCATGATGAGGATGTTGTAGCTGCAAAATGGGAACAAATCACAGATAAGAGACAGTCGATCAGAGGCAGCGTGTTTACAAGCCTTTCAGTTAGTTGGGCAATGCTTTTAAAATCCCTATCGCTCCATCGCACATTGTTGCCGGCTTTCGGCCTTTGTTTTATTTTTTTATTGAGCAAGTAGCAATTTGAAATGAATCTAAAATTAATGGCCTTGCATGTGGGACACAATGCATAACACCAGGGGACACAGGACACCCACAGCTACCAAATTGCCATACAAAATGGCTGTAAAAAGCAACACGTTTTATATGCTCCTCTTCCCGATTTGCCGCCGGCAAGCAGAACCATTCAACATCCGGGGTTCGGTGTTCGGGATACGGTATTCAGCCATTCTGGCATTTGTTTTCTGTTTTTTATGGCAGCGTCTTGGTTCAGTTGTGTCTCCGAATGTCCGTTTTTATGACCTCCATCCCTCGGATTATCCCCGCAGTCGACACTGACTTTCCCGGAATAAGATGGTCTCTGTGTGCATGTGCAACCTCTAGCTTGAATAACGTTCTGATTTTTTGATGTACCACTCCAAGTTGTTGGGAAAACAATGCACTGGAATTTATGGGACACTGAAGAAAAGTGTGTGTCAAATATGACACTTCTATCTTCTCTTTCGGAAAGGTAGGATTAGGTAGCTAGATTTCTTAGTTAAAATCAAGTCTAAAGCAAAATTTGTTTATTAAAAGAAAGAAACCCCTTTTCATACAGTGTATTGCTCCCTCCTAAATCATTCCTTTGTCCCAAACTTTTGTGGCACTGGGATTGATGTCGATATTGACAGCCACTAGAGTCATGAATTCGGCTTCACTTGTGTGCCTTTCGGTTGGTTTCGGGCTACTCACATGGACTCCAGCGTTGAATGATTGGTTTGGCCATCCGGCCACTCTGGATAGCACACGGTGCGCGGACTGTGGCCCTTCACGGGCACCTCCTCTGACCGGTAGAAGATCATCATGGGGCAGGAGATGAGCGTGGAGGCCAGCCAGATGGCCGCGGCAATGGCCAAATTGCATCGCTTGCTCATCCGTGGCTGCAGCGGCCGTATGATGGCCACGTATCTGCAAAAAGGGCAATGGAAGAGTTGAAATTTAACACAGTTTTCAGGGGGAGGAGGACCAGAGTCAAACCATAAGCTGATTATTGAAATGCATGGGGTTATGGGAGGGAAAAAAAAAAATAAAGCCACAAAATCAAATTAAATACGGTTCCCGGGAAAAGCCCAAAATTAATTTAACCTCCGGGGTTTCGGGATGCCTCCTAGGAAGGCATCGAAGGCAATAAAGGCTCGAGCCATTAAGTGCAGGAGTTTATTAGGGCGGAAAATAACTGTGGCTGGAAAATGATTTTATTCTGTTTTATTTATCAATTTGAGACATTTTTAAGGTAAATTTTTAGAAGATTTAAACTCTACAAGTGAAAGTCATAAAGAATAAGGGAACTCGCAGATAATAGATTTAATCAATTGAGCAATTTGTTCGATTTATAAGCTCAAGCTTTCTCCCATAAATAATTGGTTTCGAAAGCTGGGTAGCATTATGTATGCATATTCCTTCAAATGCCAGTTATTTTGTTGACTAGACAGTTCAATTCGCTTTGAAGTGGATTACTTCTCTTCAATAAATCGTGTTGTTCGACTTAAGTGGGTGGAACATTATTTATTTATGTATTTTTCAGGAACGTGTATGTATTTTGATGGGTTCTTATTTCGAGCCCTGTGACAGGTCAACAATGCATGCATGCGTGCCTTGGCCTATGGAAATCCTATTAAAACGAATGGGTTATTTTGCCAGTGCCCCTTGACCGTGATTGATAAGGGTGCAATCTGCATATAACCGCTCATAACCCTTGATCCTTATCAAATCGAAATCCTCCTTTCTGCCCCACAGCTCTCACCTGTCGATGGAGATGGCCATCAGGGTGAAGACGGAGGCGCAGATGCTCAGCATGGCGATGAACTGGGAGAGCTTGCAGTAGAACTCGCCGAAGGGCCAGTCGCCGTCCAGCATGTAGTAGTAGTTGAAGGTGACGTTCAGGCTGGAGACCATGGCGTCGGCAATGGAGAGATTCACTAAGGAAAATAAAAAATAACATTTATATAGTTATTTATAATATTTTTCAGACTTAAATTCCCACCCTATAAATTTCTAATTTATTATTTAATGATCTGAATTTTGTTCAGCGTTCTGAACTGGAAAAGTCAGCGGCAAACAATCCCTCTTATCTGTAAGCAAATTATGCGAAAACAAACAACAAAAAAGAATTTTTCTAATTACAAAACCTTGGCTGGTCGAAGGAGCAGAAAAAATAGCCTCAGCACCTTTTATTTATGCGTTGTACATTCATAATTAGTGAGGAATAAAGTGCACTTTCACTGGATTTGCCTTTCCGTTCCATTTCCCATTTTCCCACCGAGAGTGACAGCCATATTTTCTTTTTTTGGTAGCCATATCTGCTCGCCTGACAATCAACAGGAAGCGGAGTAGCTATACCAATGCCAGCCATCATTCATTACTTGATACACTTTTATGGTATTTCATTTGCATGGGCCGATTTACATGCCAATGAATCAGCCAGCACAAAGGCCAGGACACGAAAATATATACCAAAACCAAAACGAAGACGAACCAAGGAGAGGAAAAAAGTAAAAGAAAAGGAAAAGAAAAGTCCCCGCCTTTGTTTACTTTTCATTATCTGCTGAAGATAAGGCGACGGAGGCGCCCGAGAATAGAATAAAAAGCGACACGAAAACACCAACAGAGCACCTACAATAAAACAAATGTTCACTGCCGAACATTAGCCCGTGTCCTCATGTTATCCCCCCACGAGTCCTGCGACGCCTTCGACGCCTACTCTAGGAGAAAATTCGACACGGGGCGACGTGTCGCATTGTAACAATCGTCTTGGCTGCTCCCGGGGCCATTGACTATAGCGATTGCCATTTGCCCCGGGGCCCGGACCTGTCAGCCACGTAGCCAAAATATCGATTCTGGCCCATTTTAATTAATAACAAAATTGTGAACTTTTTTAAGCAAAGCATTACCGCTGGGAGAACACACTCTGATCTCATGTGGTTTTTAAGGAATTTTTTAACAATTCTATAAGTAAACAAATAAAGCAAAATATATTTAAAATTATACCCATTTCATTAGGATTAAAATTTAAGCTTTGAATTTGTCTAGCTTTCTGTTTCTCTGCAAATAAATTAGCTATCAAAAAGTATAAGTTACATTTATGAATAAATCCAAATAAATTTGGATTTCAAATTATTTGCTCCATTGAACCAAAATAATCTATAGTTTGATTCGGTTTAAGCTTTAACTTTAAAGAAGCATGTTTACTGTTTTTTTGTTGCCAAAATTCTAGCAAATTTTGTTGATCTTTTGCGAAAAAGTAAAGGACTCCTGCTGTGAATCATGCCCAGCTCTGACGAACTCAAACAAAAGATGCAAATACGCATTGATAATGAACCCAAAGAAGATTATCATCCGGTGACTGGCTACCTACCTACCCCTGAACTTTGAACCCAAACCCAAGCCGGAGCTCCATCAGGACGGACGGAGCTGTTCCAGCTGTCTGTGATGTGAATTTGAAATTTTTGGTGCCCAAAAATGATTAAAATGTCAGAACTTGTTACTAATAATGATTGCCAATGTGTATTTATAAATGCAAATTCAAAATGCCCAACCAAAGCCTGTCAGCTCAACGGGCATTTAGTTTACTTAATAATAATCATAATAATAATAATAATAATACTCTTTACCAAGTCAGAGGTAACTTTTCTCTTCCTCCTTTCTTTTTCTTTTGTTATTTGTTGGCCCTGGAAGAGGTGGCTTAGAGGTAAGCCTCTGTCTCAAGTGACTTTGGGCATTCTATTGGAATAATTGTGCCTGCATAATGCAAGCAATCAGCCATCCGCGTAGGTGGAAAGTTCTGACGAGCATCCTCCCATACTTTTATATCCCCGGGACATTGCCACAACTTGGCTGCCACTGTGAATGCCGAATGACATTATGATTATATAGTTAGTTGCAGCACAACTTTCTCGAAACTTTTGACGAGCACAATTTGCTGCTTCTAAGCAGGCATTTAAATTATTAAGAGAGTGCTTAGCTCAAATTAAATTGTGTGTGTTTCGCTGCAAATTAAATGCACTCGAAAACGTGACTCAAAGGCGGATTTAATTAATAAAAGCCATGCTCAGTTCATAACTTGATTTTGTGCCCCAAGCTGAGGAAATTAAAATTAATAGCATCCCAGGGTTCGTTCGTCTTTGCTTTACATCAAAATTTGCAATACTAGGAACGAGGGTAGACGAGTCTGTCAAGTTTGTATCTCCGAGGTGCAACAGGGCGCAGGCAAAATGGCTGAGTTTAAGTGCCTCACGGTGCAGCAGCCATAAATGGGTAATCGGCAATCCGACCTTCCGCCTGCCAGAAGAAGACTTAAATACAGACTTTGGGGAAAGCACAAGGGCACGCCGACCTTGCGGCTCTAACTAAACACAAAAGGGAGGAAGTAAGTAAAGGAAAATGTCTCAATTAAAAATAGTTGCAGTGAATAATGATAAATACTCTCAGCTGAAAAAAGAGCAGGTCCCTAGTTTTAAACAAAATTTATCTAACAAAATTCAAGTTCATTAAATTTTAAGTACACAATCATCCCTATAAATCTAGAGCTAGAGAGCTACAACCCATCGCTCATCTAGTCAAAAAGGTAACTTAAACCCTATCATAACCAACTGGCAAACATGGCGTATGCGTGATTTTTCATCGCGTATACGCAATGTGTGCACACGTGACATCTGCCCAACTCACTCACCTATAAAATAGTTGGTTACCGTCCGCATCCGCTTGGTTGTCATCACAATCCAGACAACAATTAGGTTGCCGCCGGTGGCCACAATGACCATGCCACCGAAGAGTATGCTCCAAAGCACCTGGCGCCACCACGGGACCACGAATGCAAAAGAGCCGGCCGTCTCCATGGCCGCCGCCGCATCCTTATCCGCACCCACGCCGACTGGGGGCAGGTCTGTGGAGAGACTAGAACAGAAATAGGGAATATTAGGATTATGGGGAATATGGAGGGGGAATGCGATGGGGAATTAGTGACATTGAGATTAAGTGTGTGTTATGTTTCACGGCGTCGTACCACCGCTATGCCATAAACGAGTGCCAAGTGGGTGATGTGTCTATGTAAGCATGCGAATGGGGGTGTTCCCAGTAAATCTACATATAAGTGAACTGAGAGAAATTAATGTATAATTGTGTTAACTAATTTAATGTATAATAAGAGGACATTTAAGTGCCTTTCCTTATTTTTAAATAACAAATTTTACTTTATAAATTGATTACTTTTCAAAAGATTCCTTTTATTAAGTCCAATTTTCTTCATTTAAATTTAAAGGCTTAAGTATAAGAAACTTTTTCCAGTGTATCTATATGTGCGACTCCAGGATGTAGTCGCTATTAAGCGTGTGTAATTGTGCGTGCGTTGACAAATCCGTGTTTTTCTGCAGCGCCGTCTGCCACATAAAACATCGTCCCCGGATCCGGCTCGAGTTCGGGTTGAGCCCCAGGCGGGGGTGAGGACTTGGCCTAGGACTCTGCGACTCCACTCACTCATCGGCGCCTGTCGTCATCTTTTTAATATTTTGTGTGCTCGGCTTTGTTTACTTAGGTTCGCATCTACAAGAGTGTTTAAATAGAGGGTCTGCCGGAATGGTGGAGTGGAGGTCGGTTGTGTCCTTATTGGACACACAAGCCCAAAAGACAGGACATTTAATATGCGCGCAGTGTGTGATGGCACTAAATTGGCTAGGTAGTCATTAATGCTCTGTTTATTCACTCTTCAGAGCAATTAAAAAGATGCCCACATAAGTAATTCTCACTTTACACTTTACGAACCCCATTCTCGCATGACGAACTGCCCGGGGATTTACATAAAAACGCCTCTGGTTTCGGGACTCCTAATGCAAAGAGGATTATTGATTTGTTTTCGTGGCTGAGAGGGTGGCACACAGATAGGCCTCGGCCTGGCCTCTAAGAAATGTGAAATGGGAAATGGCTGGGAACGAAGGCAGAAACAAATTCATGCAGCCTCGGGCAAGGAAAATGTCATGGCAAACAATACAAAAAAATGTTGCTACTATAATGCCGCTTTCTCCTTCACAGCTGCCCTCCTGCCTCTCAGCCCAGTCTCTAGTATTGATGTTGAGGTTTAAATAGTGCACAGTTGCAGTATAAAAGGAGTACATCAGTTTGGGAAATAACACAGGATTATTAACAGTTTTTTTTGGGATTGAATATGAGGAATTACAAGAGGTATTCTGGTTTTTCTATATTCCGAAAAATGTTGCTGACGCCAGGTTTTCTGGGCTATGATATTTATAAATCTGTTTTTTCTTTATGAATTTCTTTATAAACTTCATTTAATAAAGCTTTATTTCTTCGAAAAACAAACATCGCATATGTAATAAAAGACTTATGAGAACGGAAGCAGTTTCAACAAACAGTTTTAATCTTCTTTGCTTTGAAACCATAGTTCCCTTTGTGAAGATTATTTCTATCTAAGAGCCTTTTGCCAAACTAGGGTATATATATTTCGTCCTGACGAATTTAGGCATCCCATGTTGCCTTTTTATTTGCACATAAATCGGACGTAGTGTCTGCGCAAACAAATAAGGGCCTCAGAAAAAAAAAAAAGAAACCGAAAAAAAAGAATCGAAATGGAAAAAATCCGACAGCAGCAGCCAATGAAACTGCGCCAGTCGTCACAGAATTGAGTGTTGAGCACAGCCCCGAAGGATATGATATGCGCAAAAAAGGAGAGTCATTCGACAAATGTATTTTCGATGCGTCAGACGCAGCCATATCATAATAATTATTCGACTTTGAATGCCGCACAACTCTATATATGGGGGCAGGCGGCAAAAAATTTGGGAAATGTCTAGGAAAAAGTGCCAAACGCTTTTTGCAGCCGCTGCCAGGCAACCGAATATAATACGAAATACAGCTCTATAGAATATAGAAGAGTCTAAACGGCAGCACTTTTCTTTTTGTGTACAGTATTTATGTGTGTATCCCGCCGGCATTAACTTTTTTGTGCACTCAGAATATTCAGAGGCTGGAAAACCATTTTTAAACCTGGCTATATTTCATAAATCACATGAAATTCTTCTGATTTCAGTAGTTAGTCTTGTAGATTTTCTCATATTTATATTCCGAGTGTATTCTCTATTTGCTCTCAGTCGTTATATATTTGAAACGGAAGTAAAGAACCAACACTGAGCGAACTAAACGGAAATGCTCAACTGAATGACTGAATGGCGGAATGGCTTAGTGGAGGCGTCATTAGAGATGCATGTCAGTGGAGAAGGTGGCGGAGGCGGAGGCACAATCACGGCCACAGCTGAAAGAAGCCGCGAATGCGGAGAAGCAGGAGACCGGCCTCATCATCAGGACTCATCAAGAAGCCACGGAATCTAGGAGTTATGGCATCCCATTTCCATTGGCGCAATGCAGTGGCGTTTGCCAGATGGTTATTGGGGGCTAAGCTTACTCATTAAAAATCTACAAATGAGGGACTATTAATACTTTAGGTCTAAGGGATCTTTAAAAGGAAAGAACAGATATTACAGCTGTAGCCCAGTTTGCTTCATTAAAATTGTAAATTTATTTATTTTGATATCTAAATGAGAGCCCACTCTTGTTATTCTTTGGGTAGAACTACAAAACTATTCTAGTTTTAATGGAAAGCTCTCCTAAATTATATAAAATCAAATAAACTAATGTCCCAGACCACAAATAATTATATAAACTATAAATTCTAACTTGAAATACTATTTCCTTGCCTTCCCCTTGTCAAGTGATTACCCAGACATGGCCGGGTACTTATTCATTCCCTCAATCTTCCGAGCCATTAAACGCCATATACATTATTAATGAATCGAGTCTGAAGCCCCCACTAGACCAAATCCTGGCTACGCCACTATTTACCAGGACGACAGTGGGCATGTGCGTGTGCTTCAACATTAATTGGGTTTTGTGTCATAATTAGGCATTAGGAAGGGAACCAGATCGGGGCTCAACTCACGTTTGGCTGTGATTGAAGGAGCTGCCGGTGGACTGGGCAAAGTCCTGGCCAAAGTCGGGCAGCGGTGTGTGATTGGTCACCGCGAGGACACTGCTCATGGCGGAGTACAAGACGGCGGCGGCGGGGGTGCTCCAGTTGCCCCAAGAGCTGGCGAGCTCGGAGTAATCGTCCGCCTCGAAGTCACTGCTGCGGTTTTCCATGCTTATCTTCTTTGTTTGTGGTCCTTGGTGCTTGGTCCTGGCCCCTTTGGCTGCGGGCTCTCGTAGTTAATGTTGCGTATCCCTTTTCGTTCTCCTATTTGCTTTCCATTTGCCAACTTCTCGACCTGAAAAATGCAAGGGAAAATGGCACAAGGCCCATCTAATTTCATTTCTGGCATACTTTATTTTGTTAAGTCTTATTTTATTTTCGTTGTGCGATCTTTTGATGCTCATTTTCAGTGAAAACTTTTCAGATTCCCAGCTCCTACGTGCCCATGAAGGTATTCATATCGATTTTGATTTCTTCTCGACTTTGTTTCTTTTTCGGGACGTGACCGGTCCCATCCCAAATCCTCACACTCTACCACAGAAGTTTTCTACTTTCTTGCGGCTTCCTGTGGTAGTTGCTCTAAGTAATCTGACTTAGGACTCTGCTCTCTTCAAAGCGAAAGACAAAGTTCCCTAAGTGTACAGCTTCTGATGAGCCCTCGTCCTCGAACTGGTAGCCATTAGTGACCCGGATGGATGCCTTGGAAACTTTTTCGGGGCCGCTAAATGCCGGTGATTTGTCCAGTACGAGAATTTGTTTTCCGTGCTCAAGACAATAATTAAAAAGTATATATTTTTGGCTCTAAGAAATAATGAATAGAGGCCAAGGCATAGAAGAAATGAAACAGAAATTGCTTATTGAATGTCTCAACTTCATTTGAAAAGAGCTTTGTATTCTATAAATCTTCTTTGAAATAAATTAATTGATATATTGTTATAAACATCTTTTATTCATTCTAAATAAATACATTTCTTTGTAAAGTTAAAAAGGCAATCCATCTCCTGATTCCTTGCGTCCAAAAATAGTACACACATAATTGAAAAAAATGAGACCCTGAGGAGATTTTCGCTTTTATGCCTCCCTTGAGCTAGATTCACCTGCGTTTTAAGTGAGATAGACAATTGTTTCAAAATGGCAGTGAACCTCCTTCGGCGAACAAGAGGACCCCGTCGTCCGTCGACTCTGGACAAGATCTGTCTCTGGCAGTCCGAGATAATTGCGACGACCAGTCGCGTCACTTGAAGTTTAACGAAAACGATAATCCAAGTGGGTGCTTTATTCCCTTTTCGGACCATTTTTTTTATTACTTTGCTGGCTGCCATACTTTGTTGCTACACTTTTCTTTGAGCAACGGAATTGTGCTTTTATTCAGTTAAAGTAGACCAGGTAAAGTGGACCTTCCTAGGTCAGCATTCTAGCCAAAGTCAGTGAATGCTATAAAAGCTAACAAGCTAACAATATTCTGGATATCAGGGTGAGTTTAATTGGAATCAAACTTTGCTCATGTCATTAAATTTGAGGCCATATAAATGTATTAGTTTATGTGCAGGTGGAATGACTGTATCGAATGGAATTTATTTTAAAGCTAAAGTATTTAGTAAATATCAAATATTTATTGCAAACAATTGTGGCGTTTATTTATTTCAATAGTTTGTATTTGTATAACTAAAAGGTGAAAGCTGCATATATACTCTTTGAAGGCTTGAAGGTACTTTTTGTTTATCTACTCTTCATAAGTCTTTTCAATTCTTTACTCCAAATTTAAATTATTTAAAAAACACTCTCTTCTTATAAAAGAAAAATCATTTCCTGAAAACCCCTCAATTTCTTGCACTGCTCTCGAATTTATGTATTGGAAAAACATAAAGTTTATCAGTTCAGTCAATAGTTGCAAACCAATTCCTGTTCGCGTTGAAACAAGGCTGCATCGCTGCATGGAGTGGAGCCCGATCTTCGGAGGCGGAGGAGGACGCTGTGCATCGAAAGCTATTAAACAAATAGCAGAAATCAATTGCCGGCAGCTTGTCTGGCGGGGAATGATTACCGATGGGGAAAACAAAGCATATGCCGCAAACAAATTAATAAGTTCCCCAATACCCACTGCCATTCTCCATTGCCGTTGGCTGGTGTTTTCGAAACTGAAGTGCGGACGATGACGAGACGGCGATGCACTCGTAATGAAAGGCAAACAATCTTCAAAAAGAATGTTGGCCATAATTGGCAGATATAGGGTGTTGAATATCATTTTAAAGAAAAGAATTGAGTTTTTTTTTAATTTGTTGTTTTACAGGTTTTTATAAAGAAGATTATTAAAAATAAAATATATTATAAATAAAACAAGATCTTGGGAACGATAATATTATATATTATGATGTTGATATCTTCTTATTTTTCTTATTAAAGGGCTTTACAAAACACCCTGTATCTGCCCAACCTAGACGTTTGACTTCAAGTTGAACCGACCGCCCTTTTTGACTGATGTCCGTTCAAATTGCGTTTTCCGCAATAATCGCAAAAAATTAGATTCGCATTTTTGGGCTTGGGAATTTCAGTGAACTTGAAAAATGGCCAAACTGTCACGTTCCATGGCCAGCCACCGAAAAAGTGATGGAAAGTGCTGATACAGTGGCATTTCGTGAGGGTTGCGTATACGCCATGTTGTGCCATCACACACAGACACCGTCAGCAAAGCCAGCTGTAAACTTTAAATGAATTTATCTAGCAGCTCGACAGCGGCGATTGTTTTCCTAGTTTTTCAAGTTTTTCCCCCGAGTTTTTATATATATTTTTGTTTTTGTTTTTTTGTAAGGCTCAGAGATAGACACGGCGCAACAGTAGCCGAGGCAAGTTGAAAGCTTGGAAGCCGTTGAGTTAAAGTGTTCAAGACACCGGCGGGCTCTTTAAAATGTCAGTGCAAATACTTTGAAGTGGTAGCCCAGCCGAACTCTGAACCGACTTGCTGAAATGGGGAACTACAAACTAAGCTAAAGTGGTTTAAGGGGTAAATTAAAGTTTTGTTAGGATAAAACTAGGGGAAAAATATAAAAAATTTTAGGAAAAGAAACTTCAAGTTGTAAATTCGTAGGCTTATAAACTTAAGCTCATAACTATATATTATTTTACTTTTCTATCAGATTCCGACTTAAGTTATTTTTTTCGTTTTATTCTGAGCCCAAATTGAAGTTAAAATTTAATTTAAATTGTTGCCGCTTAGTGGCACATTTTATATATTGAATATGTCGCTATATGTGGTCTAAACTTGAATAAAATTCTAGATTTAATTCTCCCTGGACCTTCGACTCGCCATGACTGCTACTTATGGCCTGGTGTAGCCTGCCACATCTTTTACAGGAGCGTGGAAAGCACATGCAGCGTTCATTACGGCGAAGAATAAAAGGCTGCCCGGCTCCGTTCTGTTCTGCTTTCCCCACTTTCACTTCTCCACTCCCTCGTTGCTTTCTCTTTTTTTTTTATATATTTTGTATTTGACAAGTCAAGTACTCGTGCAGGGAGAATAAAGACAAGTTTAGTTGGTGGGTTCTTTGTGTGTTGGTGGCGGTGCTGTGTGTGTGTGTGGACAGCCCAGTTTCCTGGGTGTGCACTATGAAAAAAAGCTAACAATTTAATTAATTGATTAATAATAAATTTAAGAATTTCTGGGAATTATTTATATAAGATTTTATTGATAATTCAACATAAATAAATATTTAAAATATCATAAAAATTGTAAAGGTATATAAAATTATTTAAAACGTTGTTCTTTAAGGAAAATATAATATTTTTCTAATTGAAAATATTTTTTTGAAATAACAAAATATCTTTCTCAGTGCACTCCCACGTATGTGTTTGTGTGCCACTACATATGTATGTCAATTTGAGTTGGGGCTCTGTCCTAGTGGCCTCCCCCTCCATCTCGGGCCGCCACGGTCTAGTTTCGGCCAGGATTCGCAGCACTTTCGCTTCCTGCCGCCCGGCCTGGCCTGTACATGTGTATTTCTAAAACAATTTATTAAAAAACAAAAATATGTACGAGCAGGGCAGCACTGCACACAGCTAACCGAAACGTAATAAGCAGAATGCCGGGGCTGTGGCTGTGGAAGTGAACTTGAATTGTAATTACCAACGCCTTTTTGCTGGCTTAAACGAGCGTTTTTAATTTCCCCACAAGCACAAGCACACTCATACACACACGCACCCTCACCGAACAATTAAAAACAAAATGAACATTAAATATATGGAGCTGCAAATTGGCCACATGCGCCTCCAGTTCCTCCTCCGAAATCTCAGCAGCCGGAGCAAAATTCATCAAAATGATTGTTTAATGAGCTCCAGTGCTCGGAGCAAGAATTCATTTGCGAGCTGGATCTTTCTTTCGCACCTTCCGCAGGCAGCCAGAACAATAACATCCACAAAAATTAAACAATCCCCTTTAATATATAAATAAATCCCCGGTGATAAAGGCGTACGCATACACACAGTCTTTGTGCAAAGTACATGCACAGATACTCGCGAAAGCCATAGGCAGACTCTGGCTGTTGAGGCAGGACAAGTTATTTTGGCAAATTTAATTGTTCGAGCGATTTGCGTTTATTTGCTTGTGCTTAAAAGATATTTAAAATGGGATAACCCTGGGCGGGGTATACAGGCATACATATAATAAAATCGCGCTCTCCGGATATCGCAGGCAGGCATGGGCAATATTTACAAGTGATTCAGCTTGGGTCAAAGAAAAATATTTTCAAATGAAATTCGGAACATCTGCTTATTTTTCGGTGACGTGATTTCGTTTTGGGGCAGCTTCCAAGGGATTGTGGCTGCCACACAGACAGTGGTTATTCGATAACTGTTGATCTTTTTTAACTTTAAATGTATTTAAAATAAAGCAAATGAAATTGTTAAATTCAATTTAAGGTTTATTCCATCAGTTTGGCATTTTTATACCCTTGCAGGGTATTATAATTTCAGTCAGAAGTTTGCAACGCAGTGAAGGAGACGTTTCCGACCCTATAAAGTATATATATTCTTGATCAGCATCAACAAGGGAATCTTTCTAGATATGTCAGGAAGAAATCGATTTTTTGGCCATTTTTGCAAAATTGTATAAGGGGTTACATCATTAAAATTTTTGATTTTGATAAAAAATTGAATTTTCAAAATTTTTAAATGAATTATGCAGATTTATTACCTGTAGAAAATCTTGCACAGAATAGTTTTCCGATTTAAAATTAATGCTCTTTTGGCCGAGTTATGATATTTTTAATTTAAAAAAAAATCCAGAAGTTTTTTAATATAAAAAATCCGATTTTATATACAAAATAATATTTTTCTAAGTCAAGGAATCATTTCCGACCCCATAAACCATATATATTCTTGATCAGCATTAACATGCGAATCTTTCTAGACATGTCCGGAAGAAATCGATTTTTTGGCCATTTTTGCGAAATTTGATAAGGGGTTACATCATTAAAATGAGCAAAAATGGCCGAAAATTTTGATTTCTTAAAATTTTAAATTTGGTATGCAGTTTTTTTAAATTAATAAAAACTAACACAAAACTGCTTTCTGAATCGAAATAAATGCATTTTTGGCTTAGTTGTGATATATTTTAATTGTTACCTGCAAGGGTATACAAACTTTGGCTGGCCAAAGTTAGCTTTCTTTCTTGTTTAGCATATTTTTTGTTTGTTTTCCTAAAGAAAAAGTTTGTTAAATAACACTACAATTTATTGAATTATGTTAGCCACATTTTAATATTTTTTTTATAATATTTAATCGCTTATATATTTTCCAAATCTATTTAAGCATTAAATAAAATTTTAAACCGAAGTCAACAGAAAATATTCATTAATATTCTTCTCGAAATTATTGAATTTATCATAAATCAAATCTTTTCTTAATTCAAACATTTAAAATATATAATAATTCAAGCTTGCTGTTTTGTTGTAGATTTTCCTTATAGAACTTGGACTGTATTTAAGCTGGCTCAACACTAACTGTCTGCTAGTCTTGTGCTCATATCGTAAGTATTATGTGCCATTTGAGGCAATATTCAGGGAACATAAAGAAGCCACAAAATCCTCAGAAATACTTTGGGCCCACATACGACCTGTTGTACGGCCAATTGCCTTTGTACTACGAGTGCTCGTACCATTTTACCAATTACTACCGCTGGACATAAACAAAGGTAGAGGAATACAGGTAGGCAAGGCAGGCAAGAGCGGTCACAGACAAGGTATTTCAATGTCTTATCTTATCAACGGGAGTCTATCAGTGGCGGCGGCTCTGAGTTCTGTGCCCTGCATACCAATACGAAAATTGACTGGGCAAAAAGACCAAGGCAAGGAGGGAAAATGCGCTGGACTACAATAAATTTTCACCCGAGCAGCACCCACTTAGTCAATTTATTGCAATTATGTGTAAATTGAGGAACAAAGCGGAGACAGGCGAAGTGCAGAAAGGCAAACTACTATACATTCTTGGTTCTTTCACACACAGAACAAAATATTGAGAATAAATGGGGGGCTGATTTGAATTTATTTTATATCAGAAAAGAGCTGACTTTGGAGAAATCAGAATTTATGTGGCAATTAAAATATCTTTTGAGAATTTATTAAATTACTTTCAGTACAAATTTCAAATATTTTACTGGGTTATTAAATAAATATTCGGAGAATATAAAACTATATTTTGTTGTGTGCAGTCACCTCCACTTTACCATTTCACTCATCTCTTTGATTCGGTTGGCTCTCCATCAGCCTTGCCCAATACGGAGTACAGAGACGGAGTCAAGGGGGTTTCGGTGGGTCAACACCACCCCCCAGGGCATATATTTTTTGTTTCCGTTCAGAGCTCACCTAAACATCAACTGATTTATGTTCTGAATGATTTAAAGGCTTTTTTGACCGGTAAATACAAAGCTGCTACATTCAAAATGTTTACAGGGATTTTTAAACAACAAAATTGGGACCTCGCATATGATATTCTTTTCATTTTAAATGTCACTTAAATATTTTTAAAAATAATTAGGTCTTAAGAAAAAAATATGCAAGCCAAAACCTATGAAATCCCTTAAAAACAACCCAAAAATATTACCAGTGTCTGCAAAAATGCCAAAAAAAAATTGCCAAAAATTTTCCCAGATAAGCTTTGATAAGACCAGTAATTAAATACATAGACTAGCTACTAAATCAATTCATTTACAAGTTATCTAGGTATTAAATGATTTGCAGTTATAAATTAGGAAAAGTGTTGTAATTAACGTCGATGATAAAAAAACATTTTATTGATACATCAGCTTAAGCCTTGACCCATTCACTGGGTTTAATTTTACTAAATAACTATGTAGCTGCTTGATTTGTATCAAATTTTATTCAGTTTATTATTTTTATTAAGTTACGTTACCAAGCCAAAGTCTACCAAGTTGCTTGAGACAATTTTTTGATTAGATTTTGTAAAGTTGCTAAACCAATCAAGCGGTCAGACCAGAACTTGGTTAAAGGCTGACAACGTTTTTGGGATTTTTTCTCAAATACCCAATCTAGCCCCCCCTGAGAATGTCCTGTGCATTCTGCCACTGACAAGGACACTGCATAGCTCAATGGAGCTGCATAAAAGAAGGACGAACTAAACTGGACACCGCTAAAATATGTACATGATTCACCGACTTGTTTAGGATCGCCTTCATTTAAATTCATACGGGGCGGGCGATAGATAGTGAACTTGTGTGCTGTCCAGCTGAAAGCTGAAGTTTCACACACGTCTCCGGCGCCAGTGGACCTGGCCTCCGCATCCTGTGCCTCCTTCTCCGCCTCCACCCCCTTCTCCTTCGCCTCCTCTTTTTGGAACCGGAGAAAAGACGTCAGCAGCAGCGGAGGGCGGATGCCGCATCGGTTTCAATTTAATTAAATGTTTTGATGCATGACAGCACAGCAGAGTCCAGGACCAGTCCAGCACCGGACATACGGCATTTATTACTTATTCGCATTCGTTTAAAGATCCCGTTTACGCCTCCGTGGAGCCTTTAAGGCCTCGTCTCTCTTTTTTTTGGAGGCCAACTATTTGCCCCGATTCTCCAACTAATGGATGCCCCCGGCTTAGACGCACTAATGCGAGAGGGGGAAGCGTTTTCGCGTTGAAAGGATTTCAGATTTCAGTTTGCCCAGCTGACCATGGGCTTGGTCTTGCGGCTTTTGTGGACCAGCCTCCATTACGGCCAAGATTCGGATGAGTCCATTTGCCCAACGAACAGCCGTTTATCCGGCCAACCAAACCACTCACATGGCCAAGTCCTTTTCGGCCACAGCAAAACCGGGCAGCAAACCAGCCAACATAATGCTCGCCGGCTTCACTAATCATAGTTGACATTAAATATTTAGAAGCTACAAAAGTTTCGGCAGTCCTGATTGAGTTAGCAGCCTCTCCTCGGCACAAAGCGGCAATTAAGTTTATTATTCGGCAAACGGATGCCCTGGCATGTGGCATTACATTCACTTTCACTTTCACTTTCAATTCAGGGGCTTCAAAGCATTTATAAAATATAAATAAAATAGAAGAGGTAGCCTGACTTGTTTAAAAATAGGAAAACGGATTATAACTTTACATTTTCTTCGTTTTACTATTGGTTTATAAAAGGTTTAGGCATAAACTTAGGTATTTATAATTTCTACAATTTAGGTTTTAATGCATCTTGTTTAATATTTATTGGTGGTAACTTGTTAAATAAATTTAATACTTTTCCTGATGAGGAAAATAGGGAAATTTTACTAATTTAGGCAAGAATTTGTATTGATTTATTAACAACATTTATTCAGATAAGAAATGGTTTTATTAGAAACATATTAATCAATGTCTATCATATTAAATTTCACTTGTATTTTAAGCTTTCTATTGATTAAATAAATTATTTTCTTTTAACCCTTTACCGAATACATTTTATATAATAAAATCAATCAATTTTCATTCAATTATTTTTCTCCTTTTTCATTAATATATATTTTTAATAAATACACTAAACCCCTGAAATCAATTATTATTCACCCGAAATTGATTTTCTCGAAGCTATATCTCAAATCGTAGATATCTTCCATCTACGAAGGCTCAATTGAGCGTGTTAATTTCTGGTTACCCCTTAACTATCTTTCGCTTGACTGGAATGTTGAAACCCGATGCTCAAATTGAGCGGAAGAATTATGAGGGGGATAAGCTCGTGGCCTCCGGTTTGATCTTTCAGATTTGGTTTAATCGCTTGATTAGGCTCTTGAAGTAATTACGTTTCGCTTTTGTGAACAGTTCCGGCCATAGCAAAAAGTTGTCAACAAATAACAGTTTATTAATTACTTTGCCAACACAATTTTGGATAAACTTTTGCCAGCAGACCGATTTGACTTTTTGCAGTGAGTAAACTTTAAAATTAAACATTGTTTTTGGGTAATGTGGTAAATGGGGAAAACCAAAGCATAATGATACTTGAGGAGCTTACCAGGAACTAGTTAGTGTGAGTTATATTCTCCCCCCCTTGAATTTTCACCTAGCGGCAACGCGGCGTATGAGCAATGTCAGCCAATTTGCAGGCAGCCGAAAAACAATTGTATTTAAAAATAAATTCCGCTTTCGCCTCACTTGTTTATGTTTATTAGTTTTAGTCAAAACACCCAATTTGTATATTCAATTTAACGGCTAGTTTATCGCTTCTGCGTGTTTGTTTTAAAACGAAATTCAATTTCTTTATATTTTTTATAATTTTGTTATATATTTTTTTTCCAATCCACCGAAGCTGGAATTCAATTACGCCCCGGTTCGAGTGCCGCCGGCATTTGGCCCTCCGTTGGTAAGCCGATTTTCCAGCATTTTTTCAACACACTATTCCGGAGTGTTGGCGCTACGGAAAATATACCCACGACCCGCGTCCGCGTCCGCTTTCCAAGCTATTTCGAACCGTACGCGCGCGAGTCTGCCGTTGAACTGAACTGAACGCAGCGCTTTCCTGAGGCTGAGGCTGTCCAAAGTTAAGGGCTAGGAAGCATGAGGGGGAGGTAATGGACTGGTGAGGCGGGTTTGGGTTCTCGGACACGAGACTGGGAGACTCCCAGACGCACGCTTACTCTGTCCGCTTGTTGCACTTTAGTGATATGTGACCTGGGAGACACAAGACTACCTAATTTCCTCATCATTTGTGGTTTTTCCTAAGTTTCCATTTGAAAACCATTCAAATCTCTTGCGAAATCAAATCTCACCCGCCCAACAGGGAACAGAGTTGCCGAGTTTTCCTCAGTGCGCCTGCGCTTTTCCAGTCTCTCTTTGCTTTTCTCTCTGTTTTCATACGTTTATTCGTAAACAATCTGGACTCCGGCACGTGCATTCTACGGGTATCTGAAGTACACAAAGGAATGATCTTATCTTTATGACTCTTATCACTAAAAAAGGTTCAAGTTAATGCTTAATACTTAGTTTTAATCTCAGAATTGTTTATAACATTAATTTTCACCAGCTTTCAAGTTAAATTCATTATTTTCTTAATTTAGATCTTTAAAATATCCAAATTTTTCCCAGTGCAATGCGTTTTGTTTGTTGCTTTAGAGCCAAATGACTTGGCTCTTTCACACCAGACAGCCGCAGGTGTTGGATGCGGATACGGCGAGGCAAAATATGCCTTAAGTAAGCACAATGCTTGGAAAGATTTCCCTGGGAACGGGTTCTGATGGCTTAATGTGCTGTCGGAGATGGAATTCCGAATCTTTATTGGCCACAAACGCATCAGTGACCAATCAATCACTTCGCTTGACCCATTCCTGGTGCAATGGTAACCGAGTTAGCTTACGAGGCACTGTCAGCAAATTTAGATTACAAAAATATAGTACTTAAAAAGAGGCCATTAATTGATATTATATATTTTATATTTTTACTTGAAAGATGATTTATATTATTATACTTTAAAGTTAACACATTTTCGACTTTCTTTTCCTCGCTTGCTTTCGAGAAGAGCCTCCTAGGTCCCATCTTCCCCAACGATCCAGATAATTTATCATCCTTTCTTGTTTTAAAGTTATTTCAAATTTATTATTATTTTTAAAAATTATCCTAGATTCTTTAAAGACTACATAGTTGACCGCGAATTGAACTCATCTTGTTTAACCTTTTTTGTACAGTTCATTGGGGACCATCCATAATCGTTATGATGTGCTGATGGGAGGTCGGAGCTTGCACTGTCCAATGTCCAATATCCCGAGCAGCTGGGCATCATTAACTATCTGCAAGTCCCGCTCGTTACCAGTGCCTTGCCCTGCTGATGACCCCATTTAATCAACGCTAAGCCCTCGTCCATTCGCCTCCTGTCCTGCACCGTCGCATCGGCGGGGCAAAAATGATAATTTGTTTGTCAACATTATGCTGGCAAATGTATATTCGGCTAAATACCATCCTGCCGACAGCATGTGACAAGTGGTCCCGCGACGGAATAGGACAGAGGACCTCGGGACAGGCATTTTTGATTGATGACCAGGACCGCTGGAGCTGCACGGCCGCGCTGAAAATTTAATTTTCTCCACGATATCCTGTTGCGCGTCCTGCTGCTTTTAAGTGCACGTCATTTGGATAGCCTCCTGTCGCTGTAAATGTGATGGATAAATTGGAAAAACCGCCGCACAGTCAAAGCGAACACTGGGCAGAGTCTGCTGTCAGAAAAGTAACTTCAGCCTAAGATCTCATGGAAAACTGTAGCAAAGCTATAATACTATGTTAGGAGGCCCGAAAATTATGCATTATGCATGCAATAATGAACTTACATTATGTAATGTAAGAAATATGAGTTTGTTGTATGTGTCCTTAAGAAAATGAATTATGCTAGAATAAAGGTATTTTATTATAGTTAACAATATAAATTATGATATAAAACTCTCTTAACATTATCAATACATATATTTAATATTCTCGACATATTATTGCAGCTATTGCTTAAAAAAAGAAACAAATTACCCACACTTTGTAATTGCGGATAATTTCCCTATAATAATAATGATAATAAAAAGTAAAAGAAAAACACCAAATTTGTTTGTACATAATCTCCAAAAGACATAGTTCATAGTTTAATAGTTTTTTGTTCTGTAGTCCTTGATATGGAATAGTATATCAGGTTAATCTACCGATTTAGCAAAAAACGTTTTAAATACATTAATTTTTTTAATTATTACAGGATTTTCTAGGATTTTATTCACTTCAGCCGGTATTCCAAGTTCCTTGTGCCTAAATAATAAAAATTAAACAGTTTTGGGTGGGATTTTTCGATAGAAACTTACCCCAGAACCAGAATAACCCCATCTTCGACAGACAAGCGGAAAACTTTGGAGATACCTTCTATTCCAATACAACCACGGATTTCATAACCCTCATTTCGCTTTGTCAGAAGAAACTCGACAAGAGATGTAGGATTTACCCTTCTGATCCTAAAATAAATATATGCAATTAAAGAAAGATAACATAATTACCCAAGATTTAATTATGCAAACACACCGCAAATTGCAAGAATCAAACTCTTTCAGATGTGATTCTTCGTCCAAAACAAGAGTATCCACTCCAAACCTTTGGCAGATGAGCCTTAATCTAGTGAAATTGGTTTCGTTATCAAGCAAAGATGCCACTACTATACGTTCCCGTTGACTGGATTCCGATTTGACTTCTTTCGCAGGAGTAATAGGAAGTTTTATGCGAAGGTTATTAGATGGTGCGAAATGCGCTGTTGACAGTAATTTCCTGGCTCTAAAGGCCTGCCGAGCAGTTATAATTTTATTCCATACAACTTTAGGAACAGGTTCAAATTGTCCGTAGCGTTCATCGAAGGGCGCATTTGTTATATGCCGAATAAGTGCTGAAATATTATCCCGACAATATAAAGATAGTTCTGCGAGCATGAGTCGTGGTTCGATTTGAAGCTCGTACAGCTTTTCTCCCAATAAAGTCTCCACTGTGCTTATCAGGCTTTCAGCTACTGGAATGTGAATACTTTTAAAAAGAGTATTAGAATATGGAATCGTATTTGAATCTTGCCATACTTTACCTATTTAGTTCACACTCCAACGCTAATCTGTGCAGGATTATTTGCGCGAGAGTTCGAACTTCGTAACAGGATCCCATTGTTAGCGGTAGAAGTGAGGTGAACATTTCAGATAACTTGTCTTTTTTTATTTTTCTTAAGTTTTTAAAAATAAAAATGTAAGCAATGGAGAGATATGACTCCTGTTGCCTTGCCCGCAAACGTGGTAGTGCTTCCAGCACCCAATCGATGTTTTCCACGCAAGTGCCTACCAGAAACTCGTGCATTAGGTTTATCCCGAGATGATCGCTGGGCAACAACAAAGTCTTCAAGAATCGCGGATCATCACAATGATCGCTGGGCAACAACAAAGTCTTCAAGGATAGCGGATCATCACAATACTCGTGAATTGTAATCAAAGCAAAAGCAATTCGCATTTTTTGTCTGTGCACCTCGGAGTTTTCAGTGTAATGAGGATGCTCCATCGACAGCTTTTCGTTAATTTTGAGAAGTTCTTTGAAAACTTTAGTTTTAGTTTCAGTATTTCCGTACTCATTTAAGTTTTCAATAGTCAGTCGTCTAATTCTTGCATTTCGTTCTTCGGCTCCACCAAGGTAGTATACACAGGAAGCCTCAATGCTACGAGAAAGTTTGAAACCGTCACCAAGTTGGCTTATAAAAACGAAGGAGTAATGCTAACTCACCGTGCCAGACCAGTTGTGGGTTCTCCATGAAGCAGCAGTTGTAAATACAGGGATATACTTAGTTTTCTGTCTGGTAAACAAACTAATGTCTTCTGAATGACTAGATTGGTTATGCAGCTTTCATATTCCTTTTCTGTTAAATTTCTATATGCGTAGTCCAGAACATCGTCACTAAAAAAAAAATTAATGATATTAATGAACCAATCCTTAAGTTAATATCTTACATATCATAAATACATCCCGCACGGGCAATCAAAGCGGGCAGAAACTTCTCGTCCTTCATTCGATTTCCATGATCGCTCAATAAGTTCGCTAAATTAGACATAGTAATTTCGCTGCCCTGTTTCAATAGTTCCAGGGGATCCATGTTTAGGTCCTCCAACTGGCGCCATGAACGTAGGTTCGAAGTATAAAGGTCCACGCATCGGGCCTTCAAAAACGATGTCTCCTCGCTAGTCTGGCAGTCCAGTCGTTCCAGCAAGTGCGCTTGCATCTGCTCCAGACTCGCTTCCTTCTGAAGCAATGATATGTCCACTTTGTAAAACTGGCATAAAAACTCCATTATTAATTCCTGGTTATTACTAAATAGAGCGAGGCGCCAAAAACCATGCATATGTTCGCAAAGAGTTTCACATTCCAATATTAAAGTATTTAAAAGCTTCCCTACAATGTTATTCAATCTCCGAGCATCGTGTCTAAATATGTCAAAGGATCTCCGGTTAAACAAGACAATATGATTCTCAAGGTCTTTGTATTGGACAATTATTTTTTCTAATTGGCTGTAATCACGATATGGATCTGCCTCATTAAATAACGATTCCATGCAGACCATGTAATCCCGCAACGAGAAAGCGTCGATTGTATCCTGAAATCAAAAAGTAGAATCACTCTCTTTAATCCAACCTAATTCAAATCTCTTACCATGAACAAAAATAGGACATAATCCTGGGCTTCCTCTCGAAGATCATAATTGTCGAGGCCCCGAACAGCAAGACACAACTTAATAAGCAGCTCCTTAGGAACCCTCTGTATTAGTTTATACTTGAAACTGCGTATCCAGACGATCAGAGGAACGTTCTCCCATGAAACTGTCACCAGTGCTTCCAAAAAGAGTTCCACATTATCATCGGTTACAAACTGCTTCAGTTGCTTCTCCTTGAGATAGTTGTCATCCTCGGGATCAAACAACTGGCTTCTGTTGGTGGCCACAAGGAACTCTGACAACATCCTAAAGCGGACAAGCTGCTCTACGCTCAGATGGGCCAGAAAGTATTCCAGAATTTTGCGCAGCACCTGGATTCTGTTCTCCTGAAAGAGTCTAAGGCACAGAGTGCGCAACCAAGAGAGCCAACATTCGCCGTGATCACTGGACATCAGCTGCAGCTGGGGAAGCTGCTTCTCGAGGGTACTCACAACCAGGAATGGGTCCTGATCCTCCAAGCCGACTATAATGGCCGCAAAGGCTGTCCACTGCTGGGCACTGCACTGCAGGGAGGCCAGTGTGGCTTCGCCAAAGTCTCCTTGACACATCGCTTGGATCTTGCGGATGAGAACGCTGAGAAATCTGTGATCCTGGCACTTCTCTTGGAGAACCAGGAAGCAGTCGGTTCCCAGGGAGCGCATGAAGTCGTCGAAGAAGTGTTCCAGCATCTGTTCTATGGAATTAGCATGAGCCGTGTCCAAGAGGTCCTTCAGCACGACCTTCGCATCGTCAGCGGATTTCTCGCGCACCTCCCGCTGGAGGCAGAGGAAGAACCGGCCCCCCCATTTCTTATCCCACTCGAGAACTTCCGGCTGATTACTTTTACCGGTCGCGTAGGAATCCATTGTGGCTCTCTCTGCCTGTGTTTTTTCCGTGATGTATGATGAATAAACCGTCTTTAACAAGGAAAGATAAGATAATTTAAAATCGCAGTGTAAACGTATTAATATTTTCGCGACGGATGTGTCACAACTTCCTTATCAGCTGTTATCAATAGACTCTTAATTAGAAGTACTTAGGCCAAAAGGCAGTGCAAACATTCATTTAATTGACTGCTAAGCTGATATTCCGTTCATTTTGCACTAATAATTACTCGACAGGGGTTTTAACAGGTCTGCACAGCAGGAGGGACTTGTACTTTTTTCTTTGACTATCACAAGCTAACTGAAACCTGACTGCACTTATTTTATTTATTTTCACCGTACAATAAACTGATAACAATAGGCTATCTATTTCCAAAGCTTTCAAGTTTAAAAGAAACAATAAAGATAGCTACAATCTATTGTGATCGAATGTCATACAAGCATACTTGTCGATGCGTTTATCGATTAGTATATTAACTTATCTTGAGCTAAACGATTATAAGAAAAAAAGTGCACAGAATAAAGAAATATAAAATATTATTCAGAACAAAAACAAAATAAATTAATAATGCTTGAATTCATGAGCAGGTTACACCATTTAAGATTATTAGTAATTTATAAGTATTAATGTCATAATTTAATTTCTGAATCTAACAGAAATTCTGAAATGATATAAAATGATCTTATCTCAAGGAAATTGAAAATATCTTAAAAGACAACTAAGATTTTTTTTTTCTAAACATGTTCCTCTGACAGTTATATGATATAGTCGTCCGATCCGACTCTTTCTGAGAGGGACGGAAAGTCAGACATGGCTAGACCGACTCGGCTGTTGATGCTGATCAGGAATAATTATACATTATAGGGTCGGAATCATCTCCTTCACAGCTTTGCAAGCTTCAGACCAAAATTATAATTCCATGGAGGGATGTAAAAATACAAAGTTTTGTTTGTATTATAATTAAAATAATCTACTTTATTATCAATATACATGTTTATAGTTCAATCCATTTGATATCCCTCTTAAGGTTTTTGGTTCTCAAATCCTTGGAATGGGTTAGTATATCGGGTTAATCCATAAATTCATCAACAAGCGTCTTAAATACGTAATTTTTTGACATTTTCACAGGATTGTCTAGGATTTCATCCACGTTAGCTGGTATTCCATTTTTCTTGTGCCTAAATAATAAAAATATAACAATCATCTGGTGTGATTTTTTTTAAGAAAACCTACCCCAAAACCAGAATACCCCTTTTTATGAAATTATAGTGGGCAAATCTAGAGATATCCTTTGTTTCCATACAAGCATAGATTTCGTAGCCCTCAAACCTCTTGTTCAAAAGATATTCGACAAGAGATATGGACTTTACCATACTGATGCTGAAATAAATAATTAAAATAAAAAAAGATAATTGTGCAATATTTACTCTTCCCTGCATACCGAATATTGCCAGAAGCATACTCTTCCAAATGTGATTCTTCGTCTAAAACAAGAGTATCCACTCCAAATCTTTGGCAGGTTAGCATCAATCTTGCAAAATTAGTTTCCTTATCAAGCAGGGAAGCCACCACTATTGTAATTCCCATAGGATCATAGGACAGTTTCGAGCTACTATTTTCAAAAGAAACTTCTTTGTAAAGGTTATGAGACGTTGCTAACTGGGAGGATGACACCAATTTTCTGGATCTAAAAGTCTGGCGAGCATTTCTAATTTTATTCCATACAAAATGAGGAATAGGTTCATAAAGTCTGTAAAGTTCATCAAAGGGTGCATTTGTCATATACAGAATATAATCTGAAATGTTATTCCATATAGATAACATACATATTTCTGCAAGTATGAGCCGAGGTTCGCTTTGAAGCTCGTACAGCTTTTTTCCCAATAAAGTCTCCACTGAGCTTATCAGGCTTTCGGCTACTGGAATGTGAATACTTTTAAAAAGAGTATTAGAATATGGAATCGTATTTGAATCCTGCCATACTTTACCTATTTAGTTCACACTCCAACGCTAATCTGTGCAGGATAATTTGCGCGAGAGTTCGAACTTCGTAACAGGATCCCATTGTTAGCGGGAGAAGTGATGTGAACATTTCAGATAATTTTTTGTCTTCGTTTAGTTTTACCAAATTTTTAAAAATGAAAATGTAGGCGATGGAGAGATACGACTCCTGTTGCCTTGGCTGCAAACTTGGTAGTGCTTTCAGCACCCAATCGATGCTTTCCACACAAGTGCCTATCAGAAACTCGTGCATAAGGTTTATTCCGAGATGATCGCTGGGCAACAACAAAGTCCTTAAGGATGGCGGATCATCACAATACTCGAAAATTTTAATTAGAGCAAAAGCAATTCGCAGTTTCTGTCTGTGCACCTCGGAGTTTTCAGTGTAATGAGGATGCTCCATCGACAGCTTTTCGTTCATTTTCAGAAGTTCTTTGAAAATTTTACATTTCGTTTCAATATTTCCGAATTTATTTAAATTCCTTATAGCACTATATCGAATTTTGGCATTGAGTTCCACGACACGAAAAAGGTTATATGCAAAATCAGCCTCTATGCTAGAAAAATATTTTTAATTTTTACAAAATGTACTTATAAAACATGATATAATCCTAACTCACCGTGCCAGACCAGTTGTGGGTTCTCCATGAAGCAGCAGTTGTAAATACAGGGATATACTTAGTTTTCTGTCTGGTAAACGATCCAATCTCTTCTGAACCATTAGATTGGTTATGAAGCTTTCATATTCCTTTTCTGTTAAATTTCTATATGCGTAGTCTAAAACATTGTTACTAAAGAAAAAATCTATGATATTAATGAAACAGTCTGTAAGGGAAGAACTTACATATCATCAAAAAGCCTTAGACGTGGAATCAGAGCGGATAGTATCTTCTGGTCCTTTATTCGTTTCTCATGTTTTTCCAATAAGCGCACTAGAGCAGAAATAGTTACTTCAGTGCCCTGTTCCATCAGTTTCGGAAGATCTAAATTAAGTTCCTCCAACTGGCGCCATGAATCTAGGTTAGAGGTAAAGAGGTCCACGCATCGGGCCTTTAAGAAGGATGTATCCTCGCTGGTCTGGCAGTCCAGTCGTTCCAGCAAGTGCGCTTGCATCTCCTCGAGACTCGCTCCCTTCTGAAGCAAGGATGTGTCCACTTTGTAAAACTTGCGGTAAAAGTCCATTAATATTTTCTGGTTATTACTACAAAGAGCGATCCGCCAAAAACCATGCATATATTTGGGAAGAGTTTCCATACTCAATATCTTAGAATTTAAAAGCCATCCCACAACGTTACTCAATGTACAAAAATTGTGCAAAAATATGTCAAATGATCTTCGATTAAAGCAGGGAATATGATTAAGGTCATTGCAATCATAGAGTTTTATTCCTAATCGGTCGTGGTCACAATATGGATCCCCCTTAATAAACAATGACTCAATGCAGACCATATAATCCCCCAAAGAGAATCCGTCGATTGTGTCCTGAAATTCAAAAGTGAGATCACTATATTTAACTTAATCTAAATAAAGTTTACCTTGAACAAGAAAAGGACACGATGCTGGGCTGCCTCTCGAAAATCATAATTGTCGAGGGCGCGAACAGCAAGACACAATTTAATAAGCAGCTCCTTGGGAATACTGTTCACTTGTTCAGACTTGAAACAACGTATCCAGAGGATCAGAGGAACGCTCTCCCATGAAACTGTCATCAGTGCTTCCAAAAAGAGTTCCACATTTTCCTCTGACACAAACCGCGTGAGTTGCTCCTCCTTGAGACAGTTGTAATCCTCAGGATCAAACAACTGGCTTCTGTTGGTGGCCACAAGGAACTCTGACAACAGGCTTAAGCGGACGAGTTGCTTTACGCTCAGGTGGGCAAGGAAGTATTCCAAAATTTTGCGCAGCACCTGGACTCTGTCCTCCTGCAAGAGTCTAAGGCACAGGGTGCGCAACCAAGAGAGCCAACACTCGCCGTGATCACTGGACATCAGCTGCAGCTGGGGAAGCTGCTTCTCGAGGGTACTCACAACCAGGAATGGGTCCTGCTCCTCCAAGCCGACTATAATGGCCGCAAAGGCTGTCCACTGCTGGGCACTGCACTGCAAGTAGGCCAGTGTGGCTTCACCACAGTCCCCTTGACACATCGCATGGAGCTTGCGGATGAGAACGCAGAGAAATTTGTGATCCTGGCACTTATCTTGGAGAACCAGAAAGCAGCCGGTATCCAGCAAGCGCATGAAGTCGTCAAAGAAGTATTCCAGCATCTGTTCTATGGTTTTAGCATGGGCCGTGTCCAAGAGGTCCTGCAGCACGACCTTCGCTTCGTCGGCGGGTTTTTCGCGCACCTCCCGCTGGAGGCAGCGGAAGAACCGGCCCACCCATTTCTTATCCCACTCGAGAACTTCCGACTGATTACTTTTACCGGTCGCGTTGGAATCCATTGTGGGTCTCTCTGCCTGTGTTTTTCCCGCGATGTATGATCGTCTTTAACAAGGTAAGATTAGATAATTTAAAATCGCAATGCAATATTTTCTGGACTTGCGTAGATGCGTCACAACTTCCTTTTAAGTTGTTATCAATAGACTTTTATTTAGAAGTCCACAAGGCAAAAGACAGCACATATTTATTTAATTGGCACTAAGCTGATATTCGGTTCATTTTGCACTAATAATTTAAACACAAAATAGTATGGAAACAATGGGTGGCTAGCCCTCAACGGCTCAGATAAGTTTGGTTTATTCAGAATCAACTCGTATTATTTTTCGTAATCACTCGACAGGAGTTTCAACAGGTCGACACAGCAAGAGGGACTTGTAGTTTCCCCGTCGACTTCCACAAATGCACTGAAACTTGACTGCACTTTTTATTACTATCGTACAATCAACTGATAACACTAGGTCATCTTTTTCCATCTATAAGCCTTGAAGTTTAAAATAAACAATGAAGATAGCTACAGTCCAGTGTAATCGAATATATAACCGGCAACTAAATGATAAAACTTGATCTGAACGAACATAAAATAGATAGAAAAAAAAGCTGTAATAATTACGATCCACCAACAGCATAAGAAAAATTAAGCCCATTTAAAATGCCCTAAATTTGTTTTATTTTCTTGAATTGGCTTAATTGGTTTTTCTTTTCGCTTGGAGTTGCATTATAATTTATAGAACTTAAAGTAAAGTTTACTAATAAATGTACTAATGTTTATAAGATTACTTTTTTCTTAAGTTCCTGAATTTCTGCTGTATACTGTATCAGAATCCCAGGAAAATTTGAAACGTATTTAATTCTGTATATCTTTTTATTCGAATTGGGTAGGAATAGTTTATGATTATATTTAATGGGATTGTGAGCCAAATAAATCAGAAATGAAATCATCATAAAATCCAATGGATGTCCTTTAATATTACCTTTCTAATTTACATTTCGCAAATGCGGTTTTAAGCCAGATTTACGCATGAGTGTATTTTCCGGCAATTAGCAGCTTCCAGGCTGACCAACTATGGGCCCGAAAATGTGGCTTTAAAATTGAATTTTCCCCATTTCGTCATGTTTTAATTTCCATTTAGGCTGCCACATTTTTCCAATTACCCTTTGCCCGCAAGTCGGTGGTGAAAGACAACGCGAAATACGTAAAATTCGCGCAATGTTTTGTTTTGCATACTTCCCAGCCGAAAGTTTCATCCAAGGTCGGCCCATAAAATTTCATTGGGCTCAGGTGTCACCTGGCCGGATCCGAGGTGTGGGCGTGAAATTTATGAGCAACAAAATGCAAACATAAGTTTCATAAAGCCAAAAAACTTTATTAAAATATGCGACTGCGCTGAATTCTCCAGGAGACTGTGCTTCATTAGCGCAAGTTAAATCTCCAAAAAGCACAGGCAGGCGGCTTCTTTTTTGGACTGCCTGTTGGAAAGGAAAATATAACCTGGAACAAAAAAAAAACAGAGAACGGAAAGCGACAGCAAATCAACTACGAAACGGGGGAAAAATTCTGAGCAGATTGGTCGCAAACTTTTCCGTTCGCATGTGTGTGTGCGCGGGATCCGATGAAATATGAAGGTAGCGTCGCCATCGTCGTCCTAGGTAGTCAATTTTTCAGCTTCTGCGCGCACGATTCCTCCAAATCGAGAGTCAGTTACGGGATTACAAGTACACGGAGAGAAAAGGTCATTGGAATAAATTATAAATATTTTACGGAATAAAAGAAAAATGAGCCAACGAAAAATATTTGAATCACTCCAAAGTTTTGAGGCTAAATATTAAATATTATATACTTTATTTAGAAATCGTATTCTATATATAAACTACTTTCAGTGCCAAACTGGTAAAAGTCCTTTTGCGTGTCCTGCGTTTCGATGCCTGAATCAATGTTAATTATGCGTCTGGTTCCTGCGTGAAACTGTCATCCGGCCCCCTACGGCAATTTCACTTGTTGCTCCGCTGGTCTGCTGTCCCTGCTTCCCTGACCCCCCGGATATTATTTCTTTCTTTTTTTTTATTTTGAACTTTGAACCCTTAAATCATACAACTGCCAGACACACTCACATTGCGCCGACTTTAAACTGCCGCCATTTATCAAGGACCCCGCCAGCTAAGCATCTAATCAGCATCCCATGGCCCATGTGCCTTTCCCAACGAATCAATGCGAATCGGCTTCTGCCTGAGTCGGCGGCAACTGGGACTACACTTTAAGTAAGATTTATTTAAAGATTTATTAGATTTAGTTAGTGATTATTTTATGAATTCATATAAAAAGTTCAAAACAAAATAATATTTAATAGAGAGTTTACAGAAATTGCTGGTTTAAGATGACTTACTTTTTATCGTTTTAATACTTTTCTCGCCTTTTTTCTTGTGCTACCCAGAACCTTCCTCAGTTAAAGTTTGTGTACAGTTTTTTTTTTTCGAGTGTAGAAAGTATGGTGTTGGAGATGAGGGCACCTCCAGACTGCCGCTCGTTATTTGCATGCATGTTCACAAATTGAAGTGCAAAGTTTCGGAATGTGAAACAACAGTTCGTCAGGAGGCCAATGCGTCTGGGAGTTCCAGGGACACAAGAAGAAACAATGCCACTGTGGGGTCTCTATAAAGCGAA